ATTGTCCGTTAGTGGTTAATCCGAGTACATCTGAGTTGAGGGAGCAATGAATATGTGTGTCCAACTTGAAAAATCAGCCCTCTAATTCAAATGGTAAAATCAAAGACATGACAAAAAAATTAGATTACCTTTAGCTCTAGCAGTTGCAGAAAAAAAAAACGGCGTATCTAGGAAATTCACAGGGTGATGGGTTTGACGAATAATATAAAAAAAATTTAAAAGAACACACATAATTATGTATCTCTGTCCTCTAAAATCTCGAAAAATCATATAAAAAGTACGCCCAGGAACTATATCATTCACACAACTTAGTCACGTTCATTTAGCAAGGACATCTTGTACATTGTGCTAAGGTATTTTTATTGCCGAAACATATTCAGAAGAAAAGCAAAGGAACTACTTCAAAAATACTACTAGATACAATTTTTTTTTTGTTTTGGGGGTTGGGATTTTTCAAGAGGAAAAATGGTGAAAATGTCATTCACAAAAGGATTTTTTTCTTTTAGAATGATTAAAAATTGAAGGCCACTCATTTATTTTGACATTTTATATGAGATTTACACTAGACTTTGGTCAAAACCAACGTTGGAGCATATATAAGAATAACTGAATTGTATGGGAACCACTGACAAAAAGGTATAGTTGAAGACAACTGAGAGCAAAAATATTGCAACAAGTAATTAACTATAAAGATCGCATCCAGTTAGCATGACGGTGTGGTCCACCAAAAGTTTAGTCAACGCCGTAGGAAATCATACTGTAGAAGATATCGCATGATTTAGTCAATATCACACTGACTAATTTACATAAGCAGGAAAAGAGGGCCTCTAATATGTTCAAGTACAACTGTATACGAACAAAGAAGTAAATAACAATTTCCCCATCGCTCAGAGTAAATAAGATTGGAATGGATTGCTGTCTTTCGTAAGGTCTACTGATTCTCTAAAAGGCAGTAAGTTAAGCAGGTTGCTGCGTTCTAACCAAGCAACATATCAGCTTAGTCCTACGTGTGTAGATGCCAATCTGCAAGTTTTACCTATAAATAATGCAAAAAAAGTTTTTAATTGTATTGAGCTACGGAACATGTACATTCTCTCTCGAGTCTTCATTTAAATAGGAAGAAGACAGCTTAATTCTGAGTCATTTGTGAACTTGTCTTTTTGACTGGTGAGATAACTTGCTCTGATGTAGGTGTCATGTTCTAAATTTTGAATTTACTCCCACCCTGAAAATTCATAATTTAGAACATGACATAGGATATACGCTGGTGACAACACAACTCATACTGATAAACATACCAATTCATATTCTACAAGTACGTGTACAGTAAATTATCACCTTTCATACTCCGAACTAGTATATCTAATATGCCATCTTTACTAATACAGTGGAATTGACAAATGTCTTGGTGCCAAGGCAAGAACCTTAAATGGCCTTCTTGCCCAAAAACCAATTTCGATCCCCGACGTGCACTGCGCACCCTAGATATGAAGTTGATTACCAATGGTGGTCAGTGAGGTTTCAACAGAAGTAGTTTCCAAGTTAAAAATCGAATATATATATGCATGCAGCTATTGAACATAAAATCGAGTAGGTAGACAACCAGTGCCTTTTTGTCCATACCCCAATCCACCCAACTTCTGGTTGTCACAATTTTTTTGAACAATCTTGAAATTGTCTTGTGGTGACTACTTAATGCCTTGGCTGTCTATTGAAAACATTTTTATGTTTGTTAACCTATTTGCAACAATTTTCACTAGAAGAAAGAATAATCTTTTTATTGTTTTATTTTTTTTTTTAATTTTGTCCCAAGGAACACTCTGCAGACACCATACTGACTGCTTTAGCATACCCTTCTAGGGTCGAACACGGCAAAAGGTGTAATATTTTTTTTCTGAGTTTTTTTTATAAGTATTAAAAAACTTTAAAAAAAAAAAAAAAAAACACAAACAAACAAAAATAGAAATTCATAAATACAAAAATTCTGAGCACGGTTTTCATTTTTCCCCATGATATGGCTACGCTTTAGTTAATTGTAGTTATTCATCGGTTAAGCCATCTAAATGCCTCATTTTTTTTAATATATCAAATACATCATAGTCACGCTTTGAAAGATAAAATATTAATTTTCTTTGGTGGTGCATTAGCATTTTTAGGTCACCTGAGTCACTCAGGTGACCTATTGCTATCCGTTTTTGTCCGTCGTCGTGCGTCGTCCGTCGTCCGTCGTGCGTTAACATTTAAACATTTTCAGCTTCTTCTCTGAAACCGCTCAACCAATTTCAGCCAATTTTGGCATATAGCATCTATGGGTGAAGGGGGACAAAAATTGTGAAGTTCATGGTCCCTGCCCCCCTGGGGCCTGAGGGGTGGGGCTAAAACCACCAAAATTAATGCAATCTTTAAAAATCTTCTTCTTTACTCCTGGACATCAAGCAGTCAAACTGTTGACATGATTGTAATAAGCATTGAGCCCTCTACCAAAATTGTGAAATTCATGGCCCCAGGGTCAGGGCTTCTGGTGCTAGGGCGGGGCTATATAGATCATATAGTGAAAGTGCATTATTTCTTTGAAAATCTTCTTCTCTACCCCTGGGTATTATTGAACAAAATTGAATACATATTTATGATAAGCAAGAGCGACTTTACCAAAATTGTGAAATTCATGGCCCCAGGGTCAGGGGTTCTGGTGTTAGGGCGGGGCTATATAAATCATATAGTGAAAGTGCATTATTTCTTTGAAAATCTTCTTCTCTACTCCTGGGTATTATTGAAACAAATTGAATACATAGTTATGATAAGCAAGAGTGACTCTACCAAAATTGTGAAATTTATGGCCCCAGGGTCAGGGGTTCTGGTGCTAGGGTGGGGCTATATAAATCATATAGTGAAAGTGCATTATTTCTTTGAAAATCTTCTTCTCTACTCCTGGGTATTATTGAAACAAATTGAATACATAGTTATGATAAGCAAGAGTGACTCTACCAAAATTGTGAAATTCATGGCCCCAGGGGCAGGGGTTCTGGTGTTAGGGCGGGGCTATATAAATCATATAGTGAAAGTGCATTATTTCTTTGAAAATCTTCTTCTCTACTCCTGGGTATTATTGAAACAAATTGAATACATAGTTATGATAAGCAAGAGTGACTCTACCAAAATTGTGAAATTCATAGCCCCAGGGGCAGGGGTTCTGGTGTTAGGGCGGGGCTATATAAATCATATAGTGAAAGTGCATTATTTCTTTGAAAATCTTCTTCTCTACTCCTGGGTATTATTGAAACAAATTGAATACATAGTTATGATAAGCAAGGGTGACTCTACCAAATTGTGAAATTCATGGCCCCAGGGTCAAGAGTTCTGGTGCTAGGGCTGGGCTATATAAATCATATAGTGAAAATGCATTAATGCTTTAAAAATCTTCTCTACTCCTGGGTATTATTTAAACAAATTAAATACATAGTTATGATAAGCAAGGATGCCTCTTCCAAAATTGTGAATTTCATGGACCCTGGATCAGGGGTTCTGGTGCTAGGGCGGGGCCATATATATCCTATAGTGAAGGTGAATTATTTCTTTAAAAATCTTCTTCTCTGCGCCTGGGTATTATTTAAACAAACTATTAGTACATTGTTATGATACGCAAGTATGCCCCTTCCAAAATTGTGAATTTCATGGCCCCAGGGTCAAGGGTTCTGGTGAAAAGGGGGGGGGGGGGCTCTATTGATTATATAGTGAAAAAGCAAAATTTCTCTGAAAATATTCTTTTCTGCTTCTGGTTAAAAAGCAAAGAAGCTAAGTGTATAGTTATGATGAGCATGATTACTTCTTCCAGAGTAGTGAATTGCATGACCCCTGGGTCAGATGTGCTGGTGTAAGGGTGGGGCTCTTGATAATGTAGTGAAAATGCATTAATTCTGTTAAATAATCCTGTCTGCTCCTTAGTGTTAATCAGATAAACAAAGTGATTACTTAAATGTATGATGAATAAACTTCTGGTCCCAGGGTGAGAGACTCTGGTGTTTCTCGGTGGGGATGGGAAGTGGGGGGGGGGGGGGCTGGGGGGCTCTATTGATAATGTAGTGAATCTGTAGTAAAAACTGCATTATTTCTTTGAAAATCTTCTCTGCACCTGGGCATATCAGAGGCAAAAAGAGTAAAAGTTTTGATAAATATTTTTGAACATCTGGGCCATTTTGTCAAGTGTTCTGCTCCTGGCCAGGGCTCTATTAATTTGTATTCTACTGAGGGGAGTTATTCCCCTTTGCCATTTACTTTTGATAATTAGTCACTGTAAATAATGTACTTGAAAGGTTAATAGAATAAGAGAATTTTGCAAGATTTTTTAAGTACTTTCATAGTTTTAATGATCAGGTAGACTTGTAAGTAATAGATAAATAAAAATGAGACAAAAATAACTTGTCTTATTCAATGTTCATCAAAGACCAAGAGAGTCCAATGTAAGAGATTTCAACAAGGAATTAAAATAGTACAGAAGCATTGATAGTTTGTTAATATACTGTATGGTGATAGTGATAAATGGGGAACAGATTAGAACCTAATTTATGAACTGTTAATGAACACTAGATTAATTATTTTGTTGAACCTGATCACCCTATTTTTCTTGCTTTTGGGCAACAAAGCTTCACTTTTCAGTTCATTTTATACTCTATGGATTCTCTAAATTGTTGTATTATACTCAGGTGACCGTTAAGGCCCTTGGGCCTCTTGTTGTCTATAGTGTTTATGCTATCATACGTTATCTGGAATTTGTTAAATATTTGTACCAGATTGTCGGAATACGGTGACTTGATTCCAATGTGAGTTATTTTCGGATGTTGGAAATACATGTAATTACAATGTGAAACCTGGTTTAATTTAAAACAGCAGTGTTTATGCGTACCTCAAAGTAATGTCAATTACAGTGTCACAAAACTGCCTTTTGCACCGTGAGTATAATTCACATACATGTACATTAAACTGCAGTATCATTTTGCATTGATTTTATTTTTATTGAAAGATATGTAACACAAAAGCAATGTTAAAACTGCAAACATAGCACAGCCACTCGACAAATTCTGAAAAGGCTTTTAGGTTATATTGCTGATCTGCCTTTTCAAATTAAGCTAGTAAGAAGCATTCACCTTGAAGATACGTTATTTGAAATCAAATTTTAAGCCGTACTCGTGAAGAATTCTTTCCCATGAATCGAACACTTCTGAATCAGATTTAGCACAGAACTCATGCAGTAGCACCCAACCTTTGTTTTGTGTATTTAACACATAGTCAGTATTACCGGGTTGGACTGAAGCAGTGTATGCCCCCATCACAAGAGACTGGACCAGTCGCGCTGAAATACATATTTTTAGAACTGATAAGTCCATTGCGGGGAGAGGAAATTCGGACAAGTAACCTGCAAGTGCATGACCTGCTAGCTCAACTGGATCGTCCTGTTCACCAGCGCCAAGCAGGACGTAGCACATCAGTATGGCGATTTCAAACACGTAATATGCAATTGTAGCATCGCCAAAGTCTAGAAAGCCAGCAACCTCATAGTCGTCTGGTGATGACGGTGTAATAAGAATATTGTGGTCACTCAAATCACCATGAATAACTCCTGTATTAAAGAAATTCATTTTAAAAAGAAAAAAAAAGGAAAACTATATCTCTAAGAGTTTTACATATCAGCTATTGTGTCGAGTGAAAATTTCTATTTAGAATGTATAATAAAACATGTTTTAAGCAAGCCTTTTCAACAACAATGGCACATGTATAAACTAATCCCTACTTTACAATAGAATATACCAAGTTCAATGTACCTTCTTACCTCTCCCCTCCAAAAGACGCTTTCTGGTTTAAGAATGAAACTTTACCATGCTGGTCACTCATCCGAAAAACATATAGGCCAGATCCATCATCTGAAGCAAGTCTGGTTTGTGTGTCTCCCAAGATGCATAATACATGCAAGTTTGGTTCAGGTAGGGCATATGGTTTCTTAAGCACGGAACTGTTCCAAAAATTTTAATCTGTTCACTCATCTGGAAAACGTAGGTCAGATCCATTGTCCGAAGAAAGCTTTAATCCTTACTTGAATCAGCTATGCAAGTTTGGTCCAGGTAGGGCTTAATGTTACTTGGGAATTGACCTGCTCCAAAAGCTTTAGCCTCTCTACTTACCTAGAAAATGTAGATCAGTTGCAGTATCGGAAACATGTCTGGTAGTGTATATCCCCAATATAGCATCATATATACAAGTCTGGTCCCCATAGGGCTTATAGTTACTTTAGAATGAACCCACTCCAAAAAATTTGCCCTGTTCACTCATCAGGAAAATGTAGGTTAGATCCATCATCCGAAGCAATCCTGGTAGTGTGCATCTCTAGATGCATCACCCTTGCAAATTTGGTCCAGGTAGGGCTTTTAGTTACTTGGGAATGAGACCTGCTCAAAAGACTTAAACCTGCACCGAAACCATTAAAACATTGGCTGAAAATGCAGCATTTGACACCTGAATGATACAATAAGACATACTAGATGCATCAGCCACGCAGTTACTGCTAGGATCAATATTGGGCATTTAAATACTTAAAAAGAAAACTGCTCAAAAAACTAGTGAACTTTGGACGACGACACCGAAATTATAACATAAGCTCTCGCCACTTCGTTTGAGGTAAGCTAAAAAGTGGCTTTCATTGTAAATAATTTTCCAAATACTTACAAAATATTTGATGGCATATTTCTGTCCGTTTAATTTCTATAGACTACGTCGATATGCAATGTCGATATGTATTTTGGGACAGAATTACTAGTATGTTACCATAATTATTGACAAAACCCAAAAGTGTTTTAACAAAACTCACAGAATTTATATTTTCATGTTAATAATTTGAAGTTAAACATTTTCAACGTATCATTCTTGAGATGTTCATATTTTTTTTAATTTCCTATATTGGCTCCAATAACAAGTATGAATTAAGAGTGTTCAAGCCTTGGGTCCTGTTACATTTTTTGCAAATTCAGATTTTACCACTTTCTCGTGGTCCTTTTTAAACTGTGCAATGTGTATTTATTATATTTTTAGGAGTATTATTTATAAATACTACCACAGTTTAGGGAGATATGGATAAAGGCATCAGAATAAAACTACACCAATTCAAAACTAATGCAAAATTATAAATGCTAAAAATCAATTTCAGAACCATTCATTTTCGCAAAGAACGAAGTCATGTGATAAATTGACTCTATTACCCTTTTTTGAGCTCTATACATGCAATTGGCCGTCGCACATTATTGGAAAAGAAATGTTGATTCAAACTGAGAATGTAATGCTACGGTAAGGAGAATTTAAATTGCTGACCCTAACTTTTTGGTCATTATTATAATATGCACCTGTTTTGAGTTTACTGTAATTGGAAACAACTGAATCGTTGAACTGTTTTATTACGGACAATACTGATTGTCGTTTCTTCTCCTCCTTTAAACAAGTTAGGAACTTGGTAAGTTTTGGAACTTCTGTCAAACTCCAGATCCTTTTATGATCAGTGAAGGCTGTGTCATAAAATTCCTGCGAAAAATAGTGCATTTGCGATAAAATAAATGTCTCAAGAAGATATCATCTTATTTGTTTGTTTGTTTTTTCTTCCCAAATTTCATTTTTTTAAAAGTAAAATGTAGAATGAGATTTCTCACCAAACACGCTGCATCCAATTTTCCCGCCAATTTACCGACACTGTGCACTAGTGAAGCAGTGTATCTGATGCCAACAAATACTCTTCCCGGAATGAAGGTAAACAGACGAACGATGTACTTGGAATCTATCAAAAAAAAAAAAGAATTTATATTCAGATGTTATATATCTTGATAAAAGGAGTTTTGGTACTTTTTCATTGTTTGATATATATAAATTATTATATGCATGTAAATAACCATGCGCATGTAGGCCTATATGGGTGTGCAATTCCTTATGTACTCCGACTGTAAGACAAACAACAGAACCATATCCAGCAGAATATTTCTTCCTTCTCCAGCCGTATCCATGGCTATCACTCCTTGACCTTGATGTAATGGCCTTGAACAGAAGACTTTAATGCAACCGGCAACAACATTCGTCGTTTGCAAAGTTTTTACCACCCACTGAACATGATTTCGACATCTCATTAAACTCTGACGGTGAATTTGTCGATATGTAGATAAAGGTAAAATACAGGAAAATGTATACATGTATTAATGTCATAGACGATAACATAGCGATTATAGATACAGCAAGAAATCAAGTGTCCATAGTGACTTTGGCCTTGAAATATAACTATATAAATAATGGACAAAGTAGTATCTATGGACAACATATACTAGGGTATGAATTTATTCCAATTGCAATAAAATAATGAATGGTTTCAAATAGGGATGTCAAATTTTGTCAATAATTCATATTCGAATATTCAATGAAAGTATTCGAATATATTCGAATATTCGATAAAATCTGGTTTATTTTAAATATGCATCATCCTAATTTCATGAAAGGTTTAGCGTAGGTATTCTTATATTGGAAGTAAAATTGTATGAAGACTTTTGTAGGTGTACAATAAGGAATTCCGTTTGATATTTGTCAATGCATGTTTGAAATAAATATTTGATTTAAATGTAGAAAAGTATAATTTTAACAAATGATACACGTGTTTTTACAGTAGCTCCAACTGAGGAACCAGTCGTCCCACCAAAGGCAGAATAGTCGTATACTTTTCAGATTTCAATGCATGTAATTAATTACAATTATCAGCCTAATAAGGGATATAATTATAATCTTTGATACAGTGTTTTAAAAATATAAACAAACATTTTCATAGACAATTTTCCGAATCTTAAATTCATATTCGAATATCAACTCATCAAATGAATATTCGAATGTTCGAATATTCGTTGACATCCCTAGTTTCAAAATTAAAGGCCTGTACAGAATTTGTGAAAGATGGAACTGCAGGAAACAATTTTATCCCTTTATGAAATAAAACAATCTGTTAAACAACACTAATAACTGAGATCGTTTGAAGGTTGCAAAACTCTTACATTACCTGAACTATCTAGTTGTTCCAAAGACCACAATTTGTTGCAAAGATTGGGAACTGGACAGGAAGTACGTATTCCATGCTTTGCCACATGTAGAATTAGATGATTCTGAGCATCTGTAAGTTTCATATAATACTCTCTGAAAAGGGTTTTTTATGATTTGCTTTTTATTTTTATCAAATGTTACACTACAATAATATTAGCTTTAACTCTCAAACAACCCTCTCTCTCTCTCTCTCTATATATATATATACTCAGAATATTATTTAATAAACACGTAGGCCGCTATCACACCCAACGCACCCCGACATACATAACTGCATGTCGGTAACAGCATCTCAAGAACTCGATAACTTTATTTTCTTTCCCCTTTAATAATTTTTAATTTTTTATAAAAAGAGTTAGTGAAATAAATTTCGTTTTTCGATGATTTCGAGGAGGATGCTAATATCTTCACTGACATATATCATACCAATCGCTTCTGAAAATCTCGAATCTAGAGAGTTGAGGATTTTTAAAACATATCCCTCTTCTGACAATTTGATGTCACCGGAAGTGGTGTCGACATGGATGTGGAAGTTTTTGTCGTCATAACTGTTCAGTTCTTCTACTTTGATGGCGGAGAGGCCGTAGAGACGTTGTACCAGGCGACTGGCTTCCTTGTTATTTAATTCCGGTTGAACTTTTTCTCCTGGATTCAACACGGTTCGATTTTTGTCCGACATGGTAGATCTTGGGGGGAAAAAACTTTTCATATTATTACAATTAATGGTAATGATCATTAAAATGTTCCTTTAAAATTGAATATGTGATGTGATAAACGAGAGAAAAATTGTATTCATTATTATAAATAATCTTTTACAAGTTCAAAATTATAAAAATGTACGTATAACCTGTTGTTAAACTAGTACAATTTTCATTAAGCTGTTTCTTTTCTCATTACGTCAGATTCGGAGCTATCTTTTACTCTATTCAATCATTGCAATTTCGTCCTTTGGCTGTCCGAGCTCTTGGCTGCTGATTACGTTAAGCAGTCATGTATACATGTACACGACAACGTACGTGTTACTTAATATTACACAAGTGATTTGATAAAACGCCGTCGGTGGAGTTAATAACTACATTCATTCCTTTATTATTACCCTCATTTCCCTAACGTCTTTTTACAGCCATTGACGAAGAAAGAATCTGGGGGGATAAGACGAGCCATGTGCCCATGCCCATTTTTCGGCTATGCAAGAACATTTATTGGAAAAAATCTCTCAATTGTTCGAATTTACTTAAGCATTTTAATGTTTACCGTAGTTTTCAAAATGATATTTATATTCTAAACAAGCTAAACAGTTGACTTTCATTTACTGTCTCAAATGTCTAACATGGGTAAGGACTTCTATTAATTAATCTGCATATTGAGTGTTTACACTTATTGTGGAGATATTATAAAAATGTTAACATCGTATATAATGATAATGGTGATCTAGAAGCGCTTTTATTTAAAATAAATAAAACGGGAATAAAAGTATTCAAATATCTATTATAATTTTTATCCGGCATTTTAAATAATTTACTGTAAATAAGTTCATTACTACATGTATACATTTTATTTCCAGTGAAAAATATGTTATTCCTATAGACATTTTTTATAAAGAAAAACAAAATTAAAACCAAAAAAAAAAAAAAAAAAAAAAAAAAAAAATCAGAGCATCACTCGAACACTTTCCTCGGTAAATGTCCCTTTAAAGAGCTCATCGCTAACCACTAGACCACGGAGTCACACTAACATTTCCATTTAAATAGCATACAGTTCTCTATATTTAGCAAGCGTTTTTGGACTTAGAATTTCTTAAGACCACGGTGAAAATTTAAGTAAGTTAACTTAATTTTTTATGTAGAGTGGGTCTTCATACCAAATTTTTGCAAGTGTAAAAAGCAACATCTTTCCATTGCCTTTCATTAATCGTTCTCAAAAAAATGGTACGATGACCCACTCTATTTAAAAAATGTATTTATATAATCCAATTTATGTCAGTTTCTGTGAAAATTGAGCGTGATGCCATTTTGTTGTGTTAATCAGAATCATTTTCGCTGTTACAGTATTCAGGTTTTGTCAAATTTATATGCAAATGGTAATAAGCATTACATTAATTCAACAAAAAGTGAAATTTTTGTGAAATGAATTTATTGATTTTTTATCGATCGTTATGTAGGCATATGGCTCGGCTTATCCCCCCAGTTTCTTTAATAACTATACGTTTCTCGCTCTCTACAGACATGATTTACGGGAATTTTTTCCAGGGGATGTCCTTATCCACTCAAAAAATATTTGACCAAAAAAGAGAAAGAGAGAGAGAGAGAAAAAAAATACTTATTAACTTTTTCAAACCCCAAAAACCTATTTTCGGGGGGGGGGGGGGGATGGGGAGGATGTTCTTGTGTTCGGAATCTTTCATTTTGCAGTGTTTTGCAAATTATAATAACCGAGGAGTTCGCAGTAGCTCCTGCGAGATCTAGTGCGATTACAGCGAGACTGTTAATAGATACCGGTATTAGGTAAGTGTAGCTAGGGGGCAATGGTGGGGGGGGGAGGGGGTGCCCCCAAATAATTTTGCTGAAATAGGATAATGTAGAAAACAGAACAACTGAATAGATTTTCATGATCAATAATTAAGTCCGATTACCGTTTTTTTATTTTCATGAATTGTTTGTCAAGGAATTTTGTGCTTGGTAGCGAATCCCCCCTTCCCAACTGAACTGTTTGATTGTGTCTCCCAACCCCCACCACCACCTGAAATTGCATCCTAAGGGTCTGTTCTAGTTTGTTTGGCGGATGTACCTACAAAGTTATTTTTTTTAAAGCCAATAATAACTGATACTTGTCAATAACATTGTACATGTACATCATACCCATTTATAGTATCATTAAATACTTGGTACATGAATAGTAACTATCAGTAGCTTAGCTGTAATGGTGTACATGAATATTAATCACCGACATGTTTACCTCGATTAATCCTTGGCAAGTATACAAGTCCGTCCACAAGGTGACACAATTCCGTGTTTCCACGTGTAATCTATTTCAATAATACCTCGCCTTATAGTGTTTACAAACGACCAGTCCTGACGCTGGACTTCTCAACTCTATTTCGCAAGGTGGTTCTCTCAAGGTTTCTATTAGTTCTCTCATTGTTGACAATCTAATTAAAATGAGATCTTTCGATCCGCTCCTCTAAATCGCTACATAAGTAGAGATCTAGTGGAGCGGATCAAAGAATCTAATATTAGATTGTGATGGCTGACTCTCCTAAAAAAATCAGGGAGAGGTCATTATATTTTTCTTTTCCTTCAGAATCAGGGATATTATAATGCCATTACAAGCTTTGCAGCCATCAATATTTTATATTTTAAACCAAAATGTTTAAAACACTCTTTTAATCCTTTTTTTTTTTTTAAATCTAAGGGTTCTTTGTACTGTCAAGTAAAAAAATTTCTCCTTTAGCAGAATTGGAAAATGGGAGGAGTTGACAATGCCCATCTTGCAAGATATGAGCAGAAAGATCATCCGAGGCCAACTTTGAAACAATGTTTGTTTGCCCTCGCCCAACTCACAATGAAAATATTGGGTCGATAGGAAGGTAAGTTCTCCCCCCCCCCCCCCAAAAAAAATCCAAATTAATGCTGAATTTTCAATTTTCCAGAATGCATAAAAAAAATTTGCTTTCTGGAGGTTAAAAAAAAGTTTTAACTTGGGCAATTTTTCACCACTCAGTCAGGAGAGGGCATTCAAACAATTTTTTAAATATGGCCTGAGCTATAAAAAATGTTTTGAAATAAGATGAAATAAAAAACTTTAATACAAAATTTATTCTGTCTTAAAAATGTGTACAAGAATTGATCAAATACAAAATGAAAAATAAAACTAGGTCCATTTTTACTTTATCTGGCCTGTGAGTTGGACAAAATAAAATGCAGTGAAAATATAAAACAAAAGGCCCATGGGCCACATTGCTCACCTGAGCACAATGGCTAGGAAAAAGCACAAATCAATTCAGTATTGAAAAGTTTACATGGGGAAGGGGGGGGGGGGAGCTTGAATTTTAAACTACCTGAGGATGCTTCCATATCAATATAACAAATGACTTTGCTGTTCTTGAGCAGAAGATTTTTAAAGATTTTTTCCCATATACTCCTTTGTAAAAATTTGATACCCCATTGTGGCCACTCCCTACCTGGAGGTCATCATTTGAACAAACTTGAATATACACTACCTGAGGATGCTCCCACATAAATATGACTAATTCTTGAAAAGAAGATTTTAAAAGATCTTTCCTATGTATCCTATGTGAAACTTTGATTGCCCATTGTGGCCCCACCCCGGGGGGTCATGATTTGAACAAATATGAATCTACACTACCTAAGATGTTTCCATACAAATAAAGCTAATCATGGATTTGCTACTCTTGAGAAGATCTTTAAAATTTTTCCTATCTATTCCTTTGTAAAATGATCACCTATTGTGCCCCCATCCTACCTGAGGGTAATAATTTGAACAAATTCAAATCTACACTATATAATGAAGCTTTCAGATAAGTTTCATGTTTATGACCAGTGGTTCTCAAGAAGAAGATTTTTAAAAGATGCCTTTAAATTTTCATTAATTCTTCATTATCTCCCCTTCAATATGGTGTGGTCTTTCATTTGAACAAATTTGAATCCCCTTTACCCAAGCATAATTTTTGGCAAGTTTGGTTGAGATTGGCCCAGCAGTTTTGTGAAAAAGATTAAAATGTGAAAAGTTTATGATGACAAAGACAGACAACAGACATATTTTGGTCAAAGAAGTTAAACTCTTCGGCTCAGGGGAGCTTAAAAGTGATGTGATACTGCTGCAAAAGTTTAAATATTTATTAATAATTGAATCAAGAAAACAGAATGACTAAACTTTTTAATATGTCTATCAGAAAACCTTAATTTTGAAAATGCCAGAAATTAAATCTATGATTTCATATTCAGCAGCACATAATACACTTGCTTTTTAATTTCTAAAATGACTAAAATTATTTTACAGAATCTCCCAACTTCATATAAAGTTCATTTTGGAACCATACAATAAACAGTCAACACAATATCCTAAATATGCCCTGAAAAAAATAAACTCAAGTCACACGATTCTCACTGGATTCAATATGCAAATGTAACAGGTCAAGTGTTCAAGACAGGTGAGAGGTCATGGAGCTGAAGAGTACCCATGCTAGTCACAATGTCCACAGAATCGTCCAGACCAGGAAATGACTCCGCACCCGCAGAAATGGACGCCAGGGTTGGTAATGGGATTTCCTCTAAGGGTTCCACAGAAAGGAATTCCTCTTCAGACATTACTTTCAAAAGAAAATGTTGGATGAATTACTTCTGATGTTACATCATGTTAAAATGTCTTGGTCATCAATTACCTGGTGCCATTACACCACATTCTTTTTTTCCTTCTCCCAGTAACACTATGTAAATAGCCTTCAATCAGTACTATCACATTTTGTATTTTCAGATTATAGAGGACATTTATATTAGGCATATCTTACAAATATGTCCTTGTGTCTCAGTTTTTCTGCCTGGGGCCTTGAAATTGCTTAACTGTTGGAGAGATCATAAAACACCTTCATTTCATGAGCATTAGCTTTGTTATTATGTTTTCAAAATCTCTTGAACTGGAATTACACATTTTTTTGCCAGTGAACTTGAACTGCATACTATCAGGTCACAAGCAATCTTTGAGTCAAGTATGAGCTTTCAATGTTTCACCATTGCAAGTCAGAAACTGGATTAATTTCCCCTCATCTGACAGGAACTATGAACTTGCTAAAATCTTTTAATACAAACATTTTAAATTTATATGATTACTTTCACTGTGTCTTAGTTTACACTTGTAATATACTTCTAGGAAGAGGACATAAGTATTAAGAATGTGTGCCCAATCCCTCTGTACTTAAAAAGGACTGCAAACCATGGTATTGATTCACTACCCTACATCCAGGTCAATTTTCAATGGTTTTTATATTCCAGTGATTTCTTTAAAATTATATAAATATATGAATTTTCATAAAATTTGAAGTATTTATTAAAAGAAAGAGGAAATACTCTATATTTTCGGTAAAAATCATATATTTCACTATAGAAATCAATGGAACCATTTTTTGAAGCTGTAATCTCCACACAGTATGGAAAATCTCACAAAAGTTTTCTTTGGTTCTTCTCAGAGATTTTTAAATATCTTTACTCTTATTTTCACTAATCTCCCCTTAGGGATGCAAGATTTTTAACAATATACCAGTATATCATGATTTTTTACAGCATGATACATATTGTGATACAGAGACTAAATATCGGTGTCTACTATTAGGGCTGTCACGGTTCCATTATCTTTCGGGTCGGGTCGGTTCTAAATTTTTTAAAGTTTGATTTCGGGTTTTTCGGTTCGGGTATACATAAAGAACAAGAGGCCCAAGGGCCTTAACGGTCACCTGAGTATAATACAACAATTTAGAAGTTAAATACACTGATAGATGAAGCTTTGTTGCCCTAAAGCAAGAGAAGTAAGGAAGATCAGGATCAACAAAATAATTAGACTAGTATTCAGTATCAACTCATAAATTAAGTTCTAATCTGTCCCCCACTTAACACTATCACCATGCAGACTATTAACAAACTATTAGTGCTTCTGTACTATTTTTAATCCCATATTAAGACCTCTAGCATTGACCTCTCTTATGGTCTTTGAAAAAATTTTAATAAGATAAGTTATTTTTGTCTCATTTTTATTTATCTATTACTTACAGATCTACCTGATTATTAAAACTAAGAAAGTACTTTTTGAATTATATGATAAACATTCTTGCATAATTATCTTCTTCTATTAACCTTTCAAATACATTATTTACAGTGATTAATTATCAAAGGTGAATGGAAAAGGGGAATAACTTCTCTCAGTAGAATACAAATTAATAGAGCCCTGCCCAGGACCAGAATGCTTAGACAAATGGTCCAGATGTTCAAAAATCTGGTAGAAATACGCTTACTTATATCATTTAAACTTTTACTCAGTTTGCTTCCGATATGCCCAGAAGCAGAGAATTTCACAGGTACAATGCATTTTCACTACAGATTCAACAAAGCCTTACCCTAACACCAGAACCCAAGACCAAGGGTCAAGAAATTTACAAATTTGGAAGAGTTACCCTCATCATCATAACTATGGACTTCAAAGAATTAACACTTTTCCACTTTATTATCAAAAGCCCCCCCCCCACCCCTCATTATGCCAGAACCCCTGACCCTAGGACCACATTTTCATCATAGCTAAGCAATTTATTTATCAGCTCAACACTAAGGAGCAGACAGGATTAATTAATGATTAATTAATAGAATTAATGCTTTTTCACTATATAATCAATAGAGCCCCCCCCCCCCTCCCCTCCTCCTCCTCAAGAACCCAAAAACTTAGGCCATTATATTTAAAACTTTTGGAAGAGGCATCCTTGCCTATCATAATCATGCACTTAGTTTGTTTAAATAATCTCATCATAACTATATACTTAGTTTATCACCTTAATGCCCAGGAGCAGAGGAGAAGATTTTCAAAGAATAAATACATTTTCACTATATAGTCGATAGAACCCCACCCTAACACCAGAACCCCTGACCTGGGGGCCATGAAATTCACAATTTTGGAAGAGGCTCTCTTGCTCATCATAACTATGTACTTAGTTACTTTATCTAATACCCAGGAGCAGAGAAGAAGATTTTCAAAGAATCAATGCATTTTCACTATATAATCAATAGAGCCCCGCCCTTACACCAGAACCCCTGACCCTGGGGCCATGAATTCCCAATTTTGGAAGAGGCACTCTTGCTCATCATAATTATGTACTTAGTTACTTTATTAAATACCCAGGAGCAGAGCATAAGATTTTCAAAGAATTAATGCATTTTCACTATATAATCAATAGAGCCCCGCCCTAATACCAGAACCCCTGACCCTGGGGTTATGAATTTCACAATTTTGGTAGAGGGCTCAATGCTTATTACAATGATGCCAACAGTTTGACTGCTTGATGTCCAGGAGTAAAGAAGAAGATTTTTAAAGATTGCATTATTTTTGGTGGTTTTAGCCCCACCCCTCAGGCCCCAGGGGGGCAGGGACCATGAAATTCAAAATTTTTGTTCCCCTTCACCCATAGGTGCTATATGCCAAATTTGGTTGAAATTGGTTCAGCGGTTTCAGAGAAGAAGCTAAAAATGTTCAAATGTTAACGCACAATGCACGCTATATAGAACGTTCTATCGTTAAAATGATATTGTCCTACGGACCCAGTTTAATGATAGAATTCATTCTGTGTATTGGCAATGTTGCAAAATAAACACGGGCAATAACACGAACTCTGTGCATTTTCTATTAACAATCCAGAGAGTTCCGAATGTCAACATGGCGTTAAATTTGAAGCGAGGAAAAAACGTTGAGAAAATGAGTTGAATTTTCATATTTATATGGATTATTCTTTGGGTTAATAGGCATATACAGTCTGATTAAAATCAGATCCTTTGATCCGCTCACATAGATCGCTAAACAAGGATCTGAAGAAACCCCATTCAGGGTCATCTCCTGGTGACCTTTCAATTATCCAATCAAACATTTGCTTTCGAGAATTTAGAAGTGTCTTGGAATTCAGTTACAGAAGTAAAAGCCCGATGATACACGAACGGTTTCCCTAGCCTGTAAAAATAAAACGACCACAGTCTTTTCTGTACAGAAATATATGTAGTATTTGCTTTTGCCTTGTTTTTTAGCTCTTTTTTGTACGAAACGATAAGATCTTCTCCACAGCTACTTTCACTTCTACATTCATTTTCCCGAATGTCGCTTAAGTACGATTTCTCTGATTGGTCAAAATTTTAATGAATATTTTTATTGGAAAGGTCACCAGGAGATGACCCTAAATGGAGTTTCTTCAGATCCTTGTGTAGCGATCTATGTGAGCGGATCAAAGGATCTGATTTTAATCAGATTGTAGGCATATACAATCTCAAAAAGGTTTGTTATGATTAATTTGGTAGTTATTTTCAGTGCAACTCCTTTTGTGTTCTTCAAAATCATTTCGGAGTGGATCCACTCCAATTTCCTACATTGCAAGTATATAGGACGTATTCTAACTGTGGTGAGGGCTTGTCCCGAGACACAGTTAGATTATTCTAACTAGACGCACGCCGACGGACGAAAACGGATAGCAACAGGTCACCTGAGTGACTCAGGTGACCTAAAAAGGGAAGTTATGGTTTCACAACTTACATGTATTTGTTAGAGAAATTATGGAAATTCATTTGAAATCATAGTAAAAATTGCATGTAAAAATATCATGGTATTATTGTGATATTTTTGGATAAAATCATGATATATCGCAGTACAAAATTTTTGGTGATACTTATCCCTATCTCCCTTTAGAAAAGATTGCCCGCTTTTTGATCAATCTTTAAGGATGCTTTGTGGTACAGCTTTAAGCTCATGTGAACTAAAATTACAGTTATCAACTTTCCTTCATGTTTGACTTTCTCGAGTTTTGTGGATACAGATATACTGTGAAAGATTATTATTTCAAGGGACAATGACACACATTAGCATTGCCGTTTTGTTTATATAAATTTGAATGTTTCTAGGCTATTTATTTTTTTTAAAATTCAATTTAATGATTTAAACTTACATTAAGATAGCATGCAGCAGGCCTCATGTGCTCAAAGCACGAAGAGGACTAAGTTAGTAAGATTGCATGATAATCACTTTTTCATGACCTCCCACCAAACACTTGTGTTTGTAAACAAAGTTTGGGTCCTGTTTTGTTTGTGTTTTACAAAGTGTAATCGATTTGTTAACACTGTATACATCACTCAACATTGGTGTGTTGCTTTTGCTTTCTTACTTTTCTCAACTGTAGTTTAAATTCCTTTTATTAATACACTGCCGATTTTCCATTTTTCTTAAGTATTAAGAATAAAGTCTAGAATGTGAAAGTGCAAGAATGTATGGCAATCAATACATTCAATACAATAAATTTATAGTCTTCGTTATTTTCGGATAAAAAATATTTCTAAACATGCTTTTACTATCAGTCTGCAATGCTTTTGCAACATGCATGTTATGAAATCCCCCTCCCAAATCTGAAGAATATAAACTTCCAAAACTGTGTCTATATCCCTTTTATCAGTCTGTATCTTGAATGGAAAGAAAGTGGAAAAGAAATACCCATGTACATGTTCAAATAACAAAATTGTGAAAGAAAAACAAGCCTTGTGATTCATTGTTCAATAATCAATGAAGCTAACCTGGTTCAATGAGATCATTATTTGGTAGATTCTGTCCCAGTCTCTGAGCTATGTCTTCTCTCTTCTTCATTAAATCTTCATCATATCTCTCCTCTTCCGCATCAGAGAAATGTGGATTTCCAAAACATGGAGGCCTCCAGCTAATTAATTTGGAAATGTAGGTGCTGATTCTCTCAGACTTTGGCATGATGTCTTCAAAATCATCTTCTGTTAATATTAAGAAAAAATAAACAATAATTCCTAATAAATTGAAGGAAATGTTGTATCACATCTTGTTTTTTTTTGTTTCTGTTACATATATTATATATATATTGATTTCGATTTTTCATCATTTTTATGCCCCGCCATGAATATGGCCGGGGCATATAGTGTTTGTCATGTCCATCTTCCGTCCTTCCGTATGTCCTTCTGTCACACTTTGTGTTTAGCTCTGTTCAAAGCTCAGTTCCACAGAAACTATCCAAGATATTTTTATCAAACTTCATATGCTGATAGATATTGATGAGAGCTATGCAAATGCATCAACATTTTTTGACCTTGACCTTTCCTTTGACCTTGACCTCACTTTTCTTAATAAGTGTTTAGCTCAGTTTTAAAGAAACCATTCATAATATTTTTATCAAACTTCATATGCTAATATTTACTGATGTACCCTTTTCAACTGCATCAACAATTTTTGACCTTGACCTTTCCTTTGACCTTGACCTCACTTTTCTTAAATAAGTGTCAAACTTCATATGCTGATACATACTGATGTAAGCTATTCAACTGCTTCAATATTTTTTCACCTTGACCTTTCCTTTGCATCAACTGCATCAATATTTTTTCACCTTGACCATTCCTTTGACCTTGACCTCACTTTTCTCAATTTGTGTTAAAATGTTGCATTACTTATATACCCTCGGTGGGGCATTCATGTCCTATGGACATATTTCAAGTTGCAACCTGTTTCAGAATATGAATTTTTCAATGTTAAATTGGGGAAAATGGATAATAATCAAATAAAAATTTTAACAATTAAACAAATAAAACAAGAGGCCCTTGGGCCATATCGCTCACCTGAGTACAATTGCTAAGAAAAAGCAGAAATCAGTTTAGTATTGAAAAGATAATATATTATTAAGAGTGCAACGATAAACCGTTTGACGGTATATTGCGGTATAGTTTTCAACGGTTCAATTCACTGTACGCTAAACTGATTTCGCGGTTCTGTTCAATCGGTCCAGAATTATTCAAATGTCCGTTATGTTTTCTTGTTACAATTTCAAAATGGCTTCTGCGCAAAACATGAGCTCAGGGATAATGGCTTAACGGCAGTTAAACTCATCTCCAGCATCTTGCAGACCTCAGATTTAACACGTTGAAGAACTTTATCTCATTCCTTATGTGATTAAAAGTTATACATGTTAAGACAAGTGATAAACCCTTTAGATCTAAATGTATTTTATAGTAATACACGGTATCTCATCACGCTTGTATTTTGATGAAAATTCCCTGTCTTGTTGACTAAAACATGTTAACACGATAAATATGACAAATGGTTTTCTACATAAATAAAAGGAATAAAAGAATAAATATCTTCCTTTTTCATTCCAATTTAAAAGGAAGATTATGAGGAAAGGTCCCCCTAGTTCCCTGCAAATGTTCGTCATTGGTTTAGAATATTATCACAACTCAAAGATCTACCTATCAATCCAATTCAAGTTAACAAATTGATATTTTAAGTATTATAAAAAAATATGAAAATTTGGTATAACCCTGTCAAGTTAAAAAAAAATATGAAGACTTCGTAACATTGACATGTATCATGATATGTATCATATCGTGAATTGAATACCGTGATACATATCGTGAGGTTGGTATATCGTTGCACCCCTATATATTATGTGATCACAAATAACCCACCACCCCATCCGTGGGAAGGGAGGGGGGCATGATTTTTTCACACTTGAATCTATACTAGCTGAGGATACTTCCATATTTCTTTGACTAAACATGACTTTAGTAGATTTTTTCTTCTATATGTTTGATTTTCTTTTGTGGCCCTGTCCTAACCCCGGAAAACATAATTTGAAAAAAAATTGAATCTACACTGCCTAAGGATGCTTCTGAATTAATATGAGTAATTAAGGATTTGCTGTTCTTAGATAGAAGATTTTAAAAGATTTTAAAGATATTTCCTACATATTCCAATGTAAAACTTCGATCGGGGGTAAAGATTTGAAAAATTTAAAACAACATTGCCTGAAGGTGCTTTCCATATAAATATAGCTTATCAAAGCTTTCCTGTTCTTGAGAAGATTATCCCCATGTATTCCTATGTAAAACATTGTTTGCCCACTGTGGCCCCACCCTACCCCGAGGGTCATGATTTGAATAAATTTGAATCTACACTACCTGAGGATGCTTCCATATAAATATGACCAACCATGGCTGTGCTGTTCTTGAGAAGAAGATTTTTGAAGATTTTCTCTAGGTATTCCTATGTAAAACATTCATTACCCACTGTGGCCCCACCCTACCCACAGGGATCATGATTTGAACAAATTTGAATCTCCACTACATGGTGATGCTTCCATATACGAGGGATTATCAACAAGAGGCCCATGGGCCACATCGCTCACCTGAGCACACTGGCTAGACTAAGGCACAAATCAGTTCAATAATGAACCGGGGGGGGGGGGGGGGGGGGGGGGGGGGGGGGGGGCTTGAATTTTAAACTACCTGATGATGCTTTCATGTCAATATAACAAATGAATTTTCCCATTAATTCCTTTGTAAAAATTTGATCCCCCATTGTAGCTCCTCCCTATCTCAGGGGTCATCATTTGAACAAACTTGAATCTACATTACCCGAGGATGCTTCCATATCAATAAGACTAACATACCTTTTCTGTTCTTGAGAAGAAATTTTTTTTTCTATATGTTCTTACGTAAAACTTTCGATCCCCCATTGGGCCCCACCCTACCCCCAGAGGTCATCATTTGAACAAAATTGAATCTACACTACCTGAGGATGCTTCCATATAAATTTGACTCATCATGGCTTTGCTGTTCTTGAGAAGAAGATTTTTCCTATATATTTCTATGTAAAACTTTGATCCTCCATTGTGGCCCCGCCCTACCCCCGGGAGCCATGATTTGAACAAAATTGAATCTACACTTCCTGAGGATGCTTCCATATAAATATGACTCTTCATGGCTTTACTGTTCTTGAAAAGAAGATTTTTAAAGATTTTTCCTATATATTTCTAAGTAAACTTTGGATCCTCCATTGTGGCCCCGCCCTACCCCCGGGGGTCATGATTTGAACAAATTTGAATCTACACTACCTGAGGATGCTTCCGTATAAATATGACTCTTCATGGCTTTACTGTTCTTGAAAAGAAGATTTTTTAAGGATTTTTCCTATATATTTTTATGCAAAATTTTGATCCTCCATTGTGGCCCCGCCCTACCCCCGGGGGTCATCATTTGAACAAATTTGAATCTACACTACCTGAGGATGCTTCCATATAAATATGACTCTTCATGGCTTTTCTGTTCTTGAAAAGATTTTTAAAGATTTTTCCAATATATTTCTATGTAAAACTTTGATCCTCCATTGTGGCCCCGCCCTACCCCCGGGGGTCATGATTTGAACAAATTTGAATCTACACTACCTGAGGATGCTTCCGTATAAATATGACTCTTCATGGCTTTACTGTTCTTGAGAAGAAAAATTTTAAAGATTTTTTCCTATATATTTCTATGTACTAAAATTTTGATCCTCCATTGTGGCCCCGCCCTACCCCCGGGGGTCATGATTTGAACAAACTTGAATCTACACTTCCTGAGGATGCTTCCATATAAATATGACTCTTCATGGCTTTACTGTTCTTGAAAAGAAGATTTTTAAAGATTTTTCCTATATATTTCTATGTAAAACTTTGATCCTCCATTGTGGCCCCGCCCTACCCCCGGGGGTCATCATTTGAACAAACTTGAATCTACACTACCTGAGGATGCTTCCATATAAATATGATTCTTCATGGCTTTACTGTTCTTGAGAAGAAGATTTTTAAAGATTTTTCCTATATATTTCTATGTAAAACTTTGATCCTCCATTGTAGCCCCGCCCTACCCCCGGGGGTCATGATTTGAACAAACTTGTATCTACACTACCTGAGGATGCTTCCATGTAAATATGACTCTTCATGGCTTTACTGTTCTTGAGAAGAAGATTTTTAAAGATTTTTCCTATATATTTCTATGGAAAACTTTGATCCTCCATTGTGGCCCCACCCTACCCCCGGGGGTCATGATTTGAACAAACTTGAATCTACACTACCTGGGGATGCTTCCATATGAGTTTCATCTTTCCTGGCCCTGTGGTTCTTGAGAAGAAGATTTTTTAAAGATGCTATTCATTTTTCACTAATTCTTAATTACCTCCCCTTGAAAGAGGGTGTGGCCCTTCATTTGAACAAACTTGAATCCCCTTCACCCAAGGATGCTTTGTGGCAAGTATGGTTGAAATTGGCCCAGTGGTTCTGGAGAAGAAGTCGAAAATTTGAAAAGTTTACAGACAAAATACTACAGACAAAATGTGATCAGAAAAGCTCACTTGAGCTTTCAGCTCAGGTGAGCTAAAAAGTTAGTGGACTGATGTGATAAAATTAATACTATGCAGTCTGTGCTTACAAAATTTATAAGGAACATAAAACAATACAAGAGGCCCATGGGCCACATCAGTCACCTGAACACATTGGCTAGGAAAAAGCACAAATCACTTCAGTATTGCAAAGTTTAAAAGGGGGGGGGGGGGGGCTTGGATTTTGAACTACCTGAGGATGCTTCCATATCAATATAACAAATGGCTTTGCTGTCCTTAAGCAGAAGATTTTTAAAGATTTTTTTTCCTATATATTCCCTTGTTAAAAATTTGATCCCCCATTGTGGACCCTCCCTACCTCCCCCCCCCCCCCCCCCCCATCATTTGAACAAACTTGAATCTACACTACCTGAGGATGCTTCCATATCAATATGACTAAACATGGCATTTCTGTTGTTGAAAAGATTTTTTCCTATATATTCCTATGTAAAAATTTGATCCCACATTGTGGCCACACCCTACCCCTGGGGGTTATAATTTGAACAAACTTGAATCTACACTACCTGAAGATGCTTCCATATCAATATGACAAAACATGGCTTCGCTGTTCCTGAGAAGAAAATTTTTCAAGTTTTTTCCCCTATATATTCCTATGTAAAACATTATCCCCCATTGTGGCCCCACCCTACCCAAAGGGATCATGATTTGAACAAACTTGAATCTACACTACCTGAGGATGCTTCCATATCAATATGACAAAACATGACTTTGCTGTTCTTGAGAAGAAGATTTTTCAAGCTTTTTTTCTGTATATTCCTATGTAAAACTTTGATCGCCCATTGTGGCCCCACCCTACCCCCGGGGTCATGATTTGATACAAACTTGAATCTGCACTACCTGAGGATGAATCCATATCAATATGACTAACTGTGACTTTGCTGTTCTTGAGAAGAAAATTTTTCAAGATTTTTTTCTATATATTTCTCTGTAAAACTTTGATCCTCCATTGTGGCCCCACCCTACCCCCAGGGATCATGATTTGTATAAACTTCAATCTACACTACCTGAGGATGATTCCATATCAATATGACTAATTGTGGATTGTTGTCTTTGAGAAAAACAATTTCAAGATTTTTTCCTACATATTCCTATGTAAAACTTTGATTCCCCATTGTGGCCCCACCGGGACTACCCCCTGGGGTCATGTTTTGAACAAACTTGAATCTGCACTAATCTGAGGATGATTCCATATCAATATGACTAATTGTGGCTTTGTTGTTCTTTAGAAGAAGATTTTTTAAAGATTTTTTTTCTATATATTCCTATGTAAAACTTTGATCCCCCATTGTGGCCCCACCCTACCCCCTGGGGTCATGTTTTGAACAAACTTGAATCTACATTACCTGAGGATGATTCCATATCAATATGACTAATCGTGGCTTAGTTGTTCTTGAGGAGAAGATTTTTAAAAATTTATTCCTATATATTCCTATGTAAAACTTTGACCCCCCACTGTGGCCCAACCCTACCCCAGGGGGTAATGAATTGAACAAATTTGAATCTACACTAGGTAATGAAGATTTCACACAAGTTTCAACTTTTACAGCCCAGTGGTTCTTGAGAAGAAGATTTTTAAAAGATACCACCAAAGAATGAGTGAACTTTGGAGTGTCATTTGGAGTCTTTTCGGCCACCCATTTTAAGCCTTAAATTAGACTATATTGCTAAACTAATCTATGATTATTGTGCATACATATGCTTTTGATATTTATACTTCGAATTTTTTGTTAAACATATTGCTATAATTCCACACAACGTCATTGAAAAGAACATGTATAAGCCTTAAATTCCGGAAATTTGAACTGGACCACTTTCGAATTTAAGGTACCCGCAAATGGGCGGAGATATTTAAATCACATGGAAGTGGAATGTAAACATTTTCACATATTTCCAGATTGATTCTACAGTATGAATTTAAATGGGGGAGAGAAAGATTGTGTAGTTTCATGATTCACACAAATAATAAATGATTCAGGGCCATACATATTGATCATTTTCATGATTCGTAACCATATTGATGCCTAGCACCGAATTAGATCAATCTTCAGTTTTCGTATATGATAAAAAATTTTAATTAATTAATTAACGTTTTTTTGACGGAACAAGTATATTTCAGATTAAAAAACATAGTCAACGAAAATTCTACAACGTTACTATATAGAGAATCACTCGCTTATGTCTTCAATATCTCTTTCATTTCGGCAATTCAAATATTGTCAGGTGTGATACAAGTGTTTAGGGATGTGTCTGTAGATGCCTGCAGACCATATTACAGAGGCGACATGAGCTAACACAGCTATATAACTAATTGTGCACTTGATTTGCACTGGCAATACCAGTATTTCCTTCAAAATACCAAACGAAAAACACAATATTTAGTGAAAGAAGACAAGGTAAACTTTAAGACCCTAATAAAATTTTCGCAAAATTCTTCATTATTTTGAAGTTGTTCAGGCCGGTATAAACGGTGAGATTTGTAGTTCCTGTATAATACAAGTATTATATTTGTATTGTAATACTTTCCTGTACACACGTTTGTATTTTTTATTAGATTGTTAATAGACTTTTGGGATTTCTACGTGTTTCTCTCGCAATATTTCTCTCTCTCTCTCTCTCTCTCTCAATATTGGGAAACGAGGTTCTGTTAGCAGTATCTGTTATCGTATTATACATTGCATTAAAACTGAAAAAATCATCGTAATGGAAACAGCGGCGGAACACTCGTATATGTACTTGGTGCACACAATGCATTGCTAGATGAGGTGCAAAGAGAAGACCCCAGTAGTTATAAAAACTTCTCTAGAATAGATAAAGCTGCATTTGAGCAACTTTTACAATTACATGTAGTAACTCCTTTTGATCTTCTTCCCATAAAACAACGAGTTTTTTTTTTATATTTTTACTGCTAAAGTCGACCATTATTTACCACGTGCTTTTTTTTTTTTGTTATGATAAAAATAGGATGACCACAATGTGAGTACTTTTGATTGGTTTAAAAATGAAAGGTAAGTTAAGACTTGTATTAAGAAATAGAGCATTGCCCTATTCTTAATACAGTTTTATAATATTCGAAAAATCTTAGGATTCACCGTATTAAAAGTCTATACATAGTCAGATTTTGTACTTAAATATATCCGTGTGTACAGCCCTGAAGTCCATTGATAGACACAATGAAAGCATATCGAACAGTGGAATGTCACGTGAGTAAAGTGATTATAGTATCAAACAGGTCAAAATAGGTTGACACTCGGTGACCTGTTAATTTAGTAGCTAACCCGACAGTACTTTGGAAAATTTTTTAAAAAATTACATATGAACCGCAAATTGTCAAACATTGCCCTTTGGATATGTATAAGTTTAAATCAAAATACACATTCTGTGAAAATGAGAAGAATGGACAAGTTGTGGCTCGATGTAAACAATGTCGTTGAAAACTGGTATGCATATGAATAACAATAGAAATGTGACAAAACTGCTAGACCCCTGTCGCAAAAACCAGTGTCGCTCGGCATTATTTAATATTTTTATGTGATATGATATATCAAACCCTGCTCTTAAGATATTGTTTAATAATTCTGTTTCAAAAAGTTTATAAATTTCGGAAATTTATTATTGGCAAAGCACCGGGATCCAACTCTCATAGCTCAAGTTCACTGATCCTTTTCACTAATTCTTAATTATCTCCCCTTGAAAGAGGGTGTGGCCCTTCATTTGAACAACGACGACAAAGACAGACATGAACGGACAAATTTCAATCAGAAAAGCTCACTTGAGCCCTCGGCTCAGGTGAGCTAATAAGGGAAAACAATTTAACTTTTTCTAAATCCTCAAGTAGAATTTGCATAGGCTTAACCCAAAAATTGAATTGGTAAGAGTTTTCATACATCAAATGGTTAATATTATACAATTATGGACTCTTTGGGTGGTGAATATGGTTTGTTATTCATCAGAAAAATATCAATATTGACCAAGGCGAAAAATAAAAAAAAAAAATGTTTAGATTACAGCTTAACACTTCCGTGTTTTCATTTTGCTGTGTGTAAGTCATCAATTGTTTGGAAAATAATCCTGCGATAGACTTGACATTTTTCCTGCTCAGATACACAGCTGGCTCCGGCCGTTGCATCCATTGTTTTCAACGTTGTTTGAGGTATTGATTGTGACGTCACAATGCTGCTATATATACACGCGCACTCACCCTCCGCTAAATGCAGCCTCAAATCCAGTGAATATGTATTATTATGAACTGTTTGCGTTTGTATAGATTATATAGGGACTATTTATACACTATATAATAAATCATGTGACTGTAACAAATTTATACTGACCTTCATTATCTAGGGGGATGTACATGTGTTCTATTTCCTCCACTTGGTGACGGGTGGGAACAATTGGCTGCTTAGTTAACTTGAGCTGTGGGGCAACAGTTTTCTGTTTTTTCCCAAGGTCAATCTGTGGCTTACTAGATTTCTTAAAAAAAAGTTACTTTTTTTGTCATTAATAGGGAAGTGCAAGGGACAGACAATTTTGATTCATTACAAAGGTAACAAGCTAATTCAGGGATTTTGTCCCTTGCTTAAGGCAATATGAGCTGCAATTTTGATGTCGGAAATTTTTGCTGCAATATTGTAGTTAACTATTTTAATGACAGAAAAAAGAACATTCATAAACCTCTGTTGTTCATATTTGTGATGGAAGAACTATTTACAAGCTTTGATAGAAGCAAAATTACATTATTGTTGTCCTGTAAAATATTGATTTCTTATATAATACCATACGTTCCATTGTACAGAAATATTTCTTCTGAAAAAGATTTGATACTTTTAGTCTAATTGATCACAAAGGTTTAAATTACATATAAATATATCATAACAGCACATTTTAACAGCAAAATAAAATTCTCTATAATCCAGCTCATATTGCTTTAAGGAAAAAAGAAAAAGGTTGAAGACCTAAAACGCAGATAGAAAAAGAAAAAAGGTCAACCTTGACCTTTCAGCTATAGGCCTTACGGTCAATAGGAGTCTTCTTTAAGTTCAAAAAATTCATGACCTACCCTAATGTTACATTGCAAAAGCTAATGAAGAACTGAAGTTCTTCATCTGAAAACTATGTATGCAATATATGAATTTTTTTTACTTTTTGACCTCAAAATCAATAAGAGTCTTGTTTATGTAATACTGACTAAAGCAGTGTTTGAAATAACCGTGCACCCGACCACCGGAGATGCACAAATTTTGCCACAGGCGAACTTATCTGCACGTAAGGACGCCCTGCTGGACGTGTTAAAATTTCCCATATATTAAAATTCATACATTTGATAAACCTCTCTCAAATTAACCAACAGTATCAGTAGTAAATTGAAAGAAGCAAAGAGGGTAGAATTTTAATTTGAAACCCAGATTGCATCATTTCAATATACAAGATCATTGGTGTTCCATCACCATCATATTGGGAGATGCTATTGACATCCTAGGAATTAAGACAGATAGCATGCCATTATTTTTTTTTTCACTGTTGAAGTCAACTGGTGTCACATTTAACAAAATCTTGTTGGAATTCCTATATTTAAGGTTAAGTTTCATCCTAATTCAAATAACTTGTAGAGTGTGTAGTGTCCGTAACCAAAAGTTGAAAAAATAAATTTTTATATTTTTTTCCAAAAAATTTACAGATAAATTTTGAAGCAGTGTATTATAACATTAAATTTAGAGATAAAAAGGTGATTATTAGCCGGAATTCTTTTAGATCATTTGGTTTTTTTTTTCTTTACTGCAAGTACTAAAATAATGACTGGACACCCACAGTGACATAGAATATGTGGAAAAATTATTATAATGAGTTACATAACCCATATTTCTTGTGATATATTGCTTCAATTGTCTTATTGCTTATTAGAAAATATCTTACAATGTGTTTAATGCAAGTAAATTTGCATTCAAAATGTTTAATAGTGGGGAAGTAATTTGGTTACGGACACTACAAAATATCGCAAAAACGAAAAGAACTAAAATTACACCAATTTCAGATGAAGTATTGTATATTTAACTGTTTGAAGAAAAACAGAATGCTTCACAGAATAAAAAAAATACATTAAAGAAATAAGTGAGCTACATTCTTTAAGTTTTGACTTTTCTACTTGCACATGACACCTGTATAAAGTTACAAGTGTATAAATTAAAATAGACAAAGTATATTGGTTATGGTGTGCTTTTATCAGATGGAGTTGAGATCTGAAGAATAAACAAGAGGCCCACGGGCCTTATAGGTCACCTGAGTATCGCGTAACAACTTTCCAACAATTGAATTTGGTTTGTATTTTGCACCAGAGGCCATGTAATTCACAATTTTGAAAGAGGCACTATTGCTCATCATAACTATACAGTTAGCATGCTTACTTTGATTACTTAATACCCAGAGGCAGAGCAGAGGAACAAAAACAAGAGAAGTAGGAAGATCAGGATCAACAAAATAATTAGTCTAGTATTCACTATCAACTCAGAAATTGAGTTCTAATCTGTCCCCCACTTAACACTATCACCATGCAGACTATTAACAAACTATTAGTGCTTCTGTACTATTTTTAAACCCATATTAAGATCTCTAGCATTGACCTCTCTTATGGTCTTTGAAGAACTTTTAATAAGATAAGTTATTTCTGTCTCATTTTTATTTATCTATGACTTACAGGTCTACCTGATTATTTGGAAGAGTTACCCTCATCATCATTACTATGGACTTCAAAGAATTAACACTTTTCCACTATATTATCAAAAGCCCCCCCCCCCCCCCCTCGTTATGCCAGAACCCCTGACCCTAGGACCACAAGATTTAAAAATCTGTTTGAAGCTCCCATTTTCATCATAGCTAAGCAATTTATTTATCAGCTCAACACTAAGGAGCCGACTGGATTAATTAATGATTAATTAATAGAATTAATGCTTTTTCACTATATAATCAATAGAGCCCCGCCCTAACACCAGAGCCCCAGACCCTGGGACCATGAATTTCACAATTTTGGAAGAGGCCCACCTCCTCATCATAACTATGTACTTAGTTTATCACTTTAATGCCCAGGAGCAGAGGAGAAGATTTTCAAAGAATTAAAGCATTTTCACTATATAATCAATAGAGCCCCGCCCTAACACCAGAACCCCTGACCCATGGGCCATGGCTTTCACAATTCTGGAAGAGGCCCACCTCCTCATCATAACTATGTACTTAGTTTATCACCTTAATGCCCAGGAGCAGAGGAGAAGATTTTCAAAGAATTAATGCATTTTCACTATATAGTCGATAGAGCCCCGCCCAGCTAACACCAGAGCCCCTGCCCCTGGGGCCATGAAATTCACACTTTTGGAAGAGGCCCACCTCCTCATCATAACTATATACTTAGTTTATCACCTTAATGCCCAGGAGCAGAGGAGAAGATTTTCAAAGAATTAATGCATTTTCACTATATAATCAATAGAGCCCCGCCCTAACACCAGAACCCCTGATCCAGGGGCCATGAAATTCACAATTTTGGAAGAGGCACTCTTACTCATCATAACTATATACTTAGTTAGTTTATTTAATACCCAGGAGCAGAGAAGAAGATTTTCAAAGAAATAATGCACTTTCACTATATGATCTATATAGCCCCGCCCTAGCACCAGAACCCCTGACCCTGGGGCCATGAATTTCACAATTTTGGTAGAGGACTCAATGCTCATTACAATGATGCCAACAGTTTGACTGCTTGATGTCCATGAGTAAAGAAGAAGATTTTTAAAGATTGCATTAATTTTGGTGGTTTTAGCCCCAACCCTCAGGCCCCAGGGGGGCAGGGACCATGAAATTCACAATTTTTGTTCCCCTTCACCCATAGATACTATATGCTAAATCTGGTTGAAATTGGGTGAGCGGTTCCAGAGAAGAAGCTAAAAATGTTCAAAAATTTTACGACCGACGAACGACGTACGACGACAGACGAAAACTGATAGCAATAGGTCACCTGAGTTTACTCAGGTGACCTAAAAAATCAGGAGAAACTGAAACAAAAAAAAAATGCTGAAAAAGTTAGGAAATGGAGAGAATTTAAAAACTTGATCCTCAAGCCTGTGAAAAATTGAAGTCATGTGTCCATAACCCTGAAATTTGGTTGATTGACTTTGTTGATCATTGTATCTACATTCTAGTACATAGTTTTCATAAAACATTAGCGAGTTAGAGAACCTTTGTTCTGCACTTTAGTTATATAGTTATGTGAAAACAGGAAGTTTAAGAATTTTCTAAATTGGATTTTTCTTTCCCATTGGCATTAGTTCTGCAAGTAAATTATTTTTACTTGAAATAATATTTAATTTTCATGTACTTTGTATTTAATAATCATTTAAATCTGATTTCTAATAGTTCAGATGTTTATTAATTTTTTTTTCCACAACCCAAAGCCAATCTTAAATATTTGGATTTTGTAGTGTCCATAACTAAATAAAGCTATCATATTATTTTAAAAAAATTATGAAAATGAAATTTCCTACTTTAATGGAAGTATTTTTGTTTCAACAAAGACATAAAAAATATTTATCTTTATTTAAATTGGTATTGAAGAGTTCACATAAATTGAAATACTACCATTTTAAACAAAAATGTATGTATTAAGAAATATGTTCATTTTAAAGTATTAAATTACCACCTTTTTTAGTCCAACTTTTGTCCATATTACGTATTTTTATATGTTGTTTGTTTGTGAGCAGTTGAAAAAATAAAGTTTATAAACAGTTTTCAATATTTATTTCAAAGAAAACAACACTTGTAGTGTCTGTAACCTGTGAAAATGAGGTTATTATCAGCCTGAAAAAAATAAAGTTCTAATGTGAATTTCACAAAACCATTTAAGTTTTAGATCCTTTAGATACTCTACTCTTCAGAAAAAAATATTTGGGAGCAAAATAAGGACATTAATCTTTTATCCCCAAGTGCAAAAGTACTGTTCCCTTTATTGTGTTTCACCCGAAAAGAAAATTATTTTCTTGAGCTAGTAGATTTTGGCAGGATTGACAACTTTCACTAGCAGTCAGCCCTGCATGTCTAGGCAGTCTAGCTAATTTTATGGTGAGTTTCACTGACTAAAGGTATAAATTTTCATTGCAAAACCTCAAAGACAACTAGAGTTATCACCAGGCCCCACCGCTATAAAACATACTTCAGTCTGAAAATGTTCTCAAGTCTGAGAATGTTCTCAAGTCTGAGAATGTTCTCAACTCCTCAATTCTCAGACTCAACCGCCGCTATAAAAATGTTGAGTAACAGAAAAATTCTCAGAGTCAATTTTATTCTCAAATATTTGCAAGATATGAATATCTCGCCTTGACCTTTTGACCTAAAAAAAAATCAAAAGGAATTGTATAAAATTTCATTAAAAAAGCTCAAGGAAAACTGACGTTATCATCCGGATATCATTTTATTTTGTATTACATGTATATGAATTTCTGACCTTGTCCTTTTGACCTAAAAAAGGGGTCTTTTTTAAGTCACTAGGAAGTATGATATATAACCTCATTGAAAAAGCTCAGAAAACTAAAGTTATCTTTTTGAAAACATTTTGCAATACAGGTAACTCTCGATACCTCGAAGTTGGCGGGACCGAGAAAAAACTTCTCGAGATCAAGAGTTCGAGTTTTCAAGAATCCGGAATATTCCGGTCTGCTTGACAGGTTTTAAAATTAGTCTTACCAGATGAAATGATTTTCCTTCATTTCCATGCAGTGCTAACATTTTGCACGTTGTTTTTATAAAACAACGATATTTTTTTTCGTGTTTTAGGTGAATATTTTAATAAACTGAGTAAATCAAAAAACACTTTATCGTCATTTCATGTATATTTATTTATTCTCTGTAATACGAACATCATGCTATGCATTCGTTAAATGAAAACGACATTTTACAGCACCATACATAGCACTGACTATTTGTACATGTTGATACCAAACATAATCTGTAAATATTTGTCCAGCAATAGTCATCATATTGACAATGAGGCTGCTATGCAAAGTTTCCGATTTTTCATATTTTATCTAACTTTGACACTGACTCGAAATAAAAATTAAATTAGTGTCTCGTCTTGTAATCAATTTCTAGCTTTCGCTGCATCTTATAATTATCATAAGACAGTCGATGTAAATTATTTTAATAGCAAATAGGCTAAATATGATTAATTATAAATCAATTATCACCTTGCAGTATAAATGTCACCAGAAAAAACATCCCGTTCCTTGAGTACCACGTCTTCTGCCTGGGGCCATTTAAATGTCCAGGTAAAGGTGTTAATTATGTAATGCTCGCGTATACACAGGGCCTGGGAAGGGGCCGCGCCATGCGCCATATGCGCATACTGTCGAAAAATGGCGCAATGAAATAATGGTGCGCAGCGCCATGCGGCGCGCCCCGCAAAATGCGAGTATGCATGTTTTATTACTTTGTAAGTTCATCGCAGTCCACACTATCTGTATTCTTCATTGAGGTTAGATGGAATCTGTAATGTATTATATAATAAAATCGGAACCATCATTCGGCATATTGACATCCACTGGCAAAGAAACAGTTTTTTTTCATGTCGTTCGATTCGTAAGTGTCAATTCGTTTTCGATGGTTGACCACAGCTTTACGAAAGTCACGCACATGGAAAATTTATATACCTTACAATGAAAAACCTTTTTCGGCGAAGTCCACTTATTTTAGCCTGTCCCGTGATCTCTAAATCGGCATCATTAAAAAATGGTGCTTTTGGTTTAAATATAATTTTTCTAAATACTAGTTGGTTAGAATCTAGATGACGATTGACTGAAGTTCTTAGAAACGGAAAAATCATTTGCACTAGTCATGCAATGTCATATGACTTTCCAATTCCTATCGCATTTTTCTTTTTAATTTTCCTAAATTTTGTTGTCAGAGATATATGCATTATCCTATAGCATCATAATATGATTTATTTTAGAATGGCCCCAATATATTTCCCCTTGGCCCCTTAAATTTCAAAATGGCCCCATCATTTTATGAACAGTGGGGCCATTGGCCCCACCTGTTGCTTGACCTTCCCAGGCACTGTATACACATAGCCACTTTGAGGTATCGAAGGTAAATTCCAATAGAAAATACATAGTGGGACTGCATTTTGACTTCGAGGGATCAAGGGTTTCGAGATATCAAGAGTTCGAGAAATCAAGAGTAAATTTGCTTAGTTATATAGGGGAAAAGTTTGGTACCAGAGACTCACTTCGAGCGATCAAGAACTTCGAGAGATCGAAGTTCGAGCCATCAAGAGTTACCTGTATATAAATTTCAGACCTTGACCTTTTGATCTCAGAATCAGTAGGGATCTTTTTTAAAGCAATAGGGAGTTGCCATATTAAATTTTGTTGAGAAAAGCTTAAAAAAAACTGAAATGTTATCTAAAAACTGTTATTTACAATATATGAATTTTTGACCATGACATTTGACCTTTTGACCTCAAAATCAATTGATGATGCACAGAGCAAAATTAACATCCTTCACTTTCAGTGAAAATCGGTGACAATTTTAAAAATTGCAATATCCAATTCTCAATATATTTAAAAGCTTCAGGGAATGAAAATGACTTGACTTTAAGACTGAATTCACTGTAAGAATGAATTCATTATATGAATGTTTGGTGTTACAGTAACTGTCTTTTACTGTATACATCTTATTGATTAATTCAGCAATTTCATATCTTTAAATAATTTTTCAAAAATTATATCTCTATTTTCATCTTCAAAAATTTGGCAAAGATTCTTACATTTTTTCTTAATAATTTTGGTATATGCAGGGATTTTTTTAAAATTGGCCTAATTTTGGTACATTCCAGTATAAGGACTACAATACTTACATAGAATTCAAGTTATTTACAAATGTGATAAATACTATTAAACCTCTTTAAATACTGTAGAACAGTACTCTTAAAATAAAGAAGCGAACTTTTAAAAGTTCCAGTTTGCAAAGATCATGTCAGCTGTGATACTGATATTTAAGACATAAAGAACATGTAGAAAGCACTAACACTTATTTGTTTTTGTTAAAAAAAACAACAACAAAAAACAAGATGTTTGTGAAACACTTATGCCCCCATATGGCAGCTCAAGGCCAAAGTTAAAGTTTTTCTAATGTAGATCAAACTCCAAGGTCAAGTATGATGGTACCCACAGAAAGGTCTTGTCACAAGGAATACATGTGAAATATGAAAGCACTATCATCAACCATTCAGAAAAAATGACAAAAGTTAAAGTTTTTCAAGAGTAGGTCAAACACCAAGATAAAGCTAAAAAATGTCAATGCCTTAAGGTCTGGTCACATGTGAAATATAAAAGCACCAATAATTCAAAAGTTATGGCTAAGGTTAATGTTTCATAAAATTTTGCAAAAGTAAGTCAACCTCCAAGGTCAAGAGGTCAAATATTTTGGTTCCAAAAGAAAGATCTTGTCACGAGATTTCAAAGCACTCAAAGTTACAGGCAAGGTTGAAGTTTTTGCAGACAGATTAACAAACAGATGGATGGACAGACCAAAAACTTTATGCCCCAGAATATTTGATTACATGGGCATAAAAAATCCTAACAATAAGAGTTTAGGATTTTTCCAAATGCTCAGAAATAAGACTGCAGAACAGTAACTGGCATATTTGGAAATTGGCAGTTTATGTCATTTCTATTGATTCTAGTCAAAACATTTCATATCAGACAATGAAATGGACAGGTATAAGTCAGCAAGGATGACCATGAAAACATTGGATTGAAATGTTGCTGTGTAAGCTGCCAAATTACCCATTGCATACACTGGTGAAGACATGGGATAAATGATCATTTTTGAATTGAATTTCAATCCACTTAGCTATTCTTAATCTAATTAAAATCAGACTTCTTAAATCTGCACCATATACACTTATTTAAGTTTTACATATCTTTTACAATATTTTGCTATTTATATCTGTGTTCATACTAATCAAGAATTACTGTATTTACAGTTTGCGTGTCTTTTACAACACTGGATAGAAAATTCTCAAATAATTTATTAATTCAAATGACTGTTTTTCATATAAATACTCTTGGTAGGGGAAGCTAGCTAGATTGAAACTAGACTATCAATCCAATGGTTTCATGGACACCCCTGCTGAATCCTACACACCTATTACACTGTCTTGCATCAAAAGTTTTAACTGCATGGATGGAAATGAGGTAAGCTGCCTATTTCCAACCTTGCAAGTGTCTTAAGTGCCTGTGAAAATGTAATATCAAAGAAGATTGGTTTTTATCTAACATTATTGCTTGAAGAAATCAAGTCACCAAATCAAAAACAGCCTATTATCTTCTCTAAAAGGTTTTGTGACATGCAAGATAAAAGATGTATGGTGTGTCAGACAATCATGGAAAAGTGATCCTTGTGTGGTGCTCTGCTTTGCAGCAACACCAATTACCTATATAATATATGTATCATTACATGTACTACCTTTAAGTTTTCTGGTTTGCCCGAGTCAGGGTTACAAAGCTGTTTGAGACTGGGTGTTTTGATACTAGCAGCCCTGGGGTCCTTGTTAATGCTTCCTAAAGCCTTCCTGGGTGTGACTAGATTTGTGCTGTCTGCAAGTTTCAGTGGCTTCAGTGGATTGACACTGCCCTGTTTCAAGCCAAAGGCTTTCACCCCCTGGTTTTCTTTGTTGATGTTGCCCAATGCTTTACGAGGAGTGACAAAGTTTTCATCTAGTGTTTTTCCTACTTTCAGACCTGAAAGAGAAATATTTTTGTATAGAGTTTTTAATTAGCAATCAAACCTATTTTCTTTTAAGTTTATGAAAAACTGACAGCCTTCCAAAATGAAAAAAACACACAAAAAACTATCAACTATCAAAAACAACTATCAAAAACAAAGACTACAGTTACTAAAATCAGTAAAATGGTAATAATCATACCGAAAATTGACCCAAAGATGCAAGCTACTTACTTTGACTATTATAGCATTAATGATTTTCCTAAATGCTGATCTCATTGGCCTATTAAAGTATTTATTGAACAAGCATTCTGAGAGTATTGCATAAGCAATACTTATCCCCTGCTGGCAATTGTAATCTTGTTCCCCTTAAAAATGAAAACAGTTGTATTCCCATTAAAAGAGGCCCAAGGGCCTTAACAGTCACCTGAGTATAATACAACAATTAAGAGGATCCACATAGTATAAAATAAACTACCGTATATACTCGCCTATAAGTCGGATTTTTGGGAGTTGAACTTTGGTCCAAAACTCTTTATCTGACTTATACGCAAGTTATAAAATGGTTGGTATTTTAGTGGGTCATCCCTCTAATTGAAGCTTAAAAAATACAACCAATTTACAGGCGGACCGACTTATAGGTGAGTATATACGGTAATAGATAAAGCTTTGTTGCCCAAAAGCAAGAGAAATAGGATGATCAGGATCAATGAAATTACTAGTCTAGTATTCAGTAGCAACTCATAAATTAAGTTCTAATCTGTCCTCCATTTATCACTATCACCATGCAAACTGTTTGTGTAAACTTTTGTACTATTTTTAACCCTATATTGAAACCTCTCACACTGGCCTCACTTGGTCTTTGAAGAAAATTTATTAAGAAAAGTTATTTTTGTCTCACTTTTATTTATCTATTATTTACAAGTCTACCTGATCATTAAAACTATATAAGTACTTTTTGTATTATACAATAAAAATTCTTGCATAATTCTCTTATTCTATTAACTTTTCAAATACATAAATTTGGTGATGGATTGTCAAAAGTGTGAATGGCAAAGGGGAATAACATCTCTCAGTAGAATACAAATTAATATTAATAGAACCCTGGCGAGGACCAGAACACTTGACCAAATGGTCCAGATGTTCAAAAATCTGGTAAAAATACTCTTGATTATTAAAACTTTTACTCCGTTTGCCTCTGATATGCCCAGAGCAGAGAAGATTTTCAAAGAAATAATGCATTTTCACTACAGATTCAACACAGCCCTGCCCTACCCTAACACCAGAACACATGATACAGGGTAATGAAATTCACAGATTTGGAAGAAGTACCTTCACCATCATAACTATGCACTTTGTTGAAGATTTTTAAAGAATTAGCACATTTTCACTATATTATCAATACCCCCCCCCAAAAAAAAGAAAGGAAAAAAAACACCAGAACCCCTGATCCTGGAATCACAAAGTTTATAAATTTTGAGTTTTGGACCAAAGAAGCACCCTTGTTCATTATCACTAGGCACTTTGTTTATCTGCTCAACACTAAGGAGCAAACAGGATTATTTAATAGAATTAATGCATTCTCACTATATAATGTCAATAGAGCCAAACCCTTATAGCAGAACATCTGACCCTGGGGCCATGAAACTCACAACACTGGAAGAAGCAATCTTGTTCATCATAAGTATTTACTATACGTTTAGTTTCTTTGTTTTATTACCAGGAGTAGAAAAGAATATTTTCAAAGAAATTATGCCTTTTCCCTATATAATCAATAGACCCCCTTTCACCAGAACCCTTGTCCCTGCAGGGGCCATGAAATTCAAAATTTTGGAAGAGGCACCCTTGCTCATCATAGCTATGTACTTAGTTAGTTTGTTTAATACCCAGGAGCAGAGAAGAAGATTGTCAAAGAATTAATGCATTTTCAGGACCAAAGTCTGTGTGTACGGAATCAACTCCATATGCAGGTGATAATAGTGCATGTATTTTGCTACATAAACAAGCATTCTGAGAGTATTGCATTAGCAATACTAGTCCCCTACCGGCAAGTGTAATCTGGTTCCTGTTAAAAATTGAAAATGCCATAATTCCGTCAAAAATCAATGAAGCGGGACGAAATGCAAACTTGATCTATAACTAATCAAGGTAAAGCCACATATCAAAAATCAGCTCAATATCTGAAAGCGTTTAGAAGAAAATTGCGGAAAACCCTTAAAAATTGAAAAGGCCGTAATTCCGTCAAAAATCAATGAAGCGGAACGAAATGCAAAATTGATCTGTAAATCATCAAGATACACTTACATACCAAAAATCAGCTCAATATCTGCAAGCGTTTAGAAGAAAAGTGCGGAAAACCAAGTGGGACAGACTGACAGACAGACAGAGGGACAGACGGACAGACGGATTGACAGACAGACAGACGGACGGACAGACTCAGAGGAAACCTATAGTCCCCTCCGGTTTCACCAGTAGGGGACTAATAAGGGAAGTTGATGATAGAAAAGTTGAAATTATCAAGTTTATCATAAAGTTTGTTAGTTTTAATTTCAATTTTAGTTTCAAATTTCAACTAAAGAACTTTTAGCATATATATCATCCATCACATGCTAATGATCAGAACATTTTTAATTGACAGTGGTTGTTGTAAAGCTTATTAATCACGTTAAAATATGCTGATTCTTGAGCTAGTGACTTTAAACATTGATTTTTCAGGTGTCGATCTAGGAAATGAAACCTTTTTTCTGTAAACTGGGTCTGCTTCTAAGAATTCAGAAAATACAGTTAACTCTTACTGTTTGTAATCTAAATGATTAAAATATCAGTTAAAAAAAGATTTTATACCAAGTCCTTTCTTTAAGCCTGTAACCTTCTTGGACTGGAAACTGCTTGAATTCTCTTTGTCGATGTAGGTTTGGAAGGATAACGCTGCCATTCTGGGGACAAAAAGAGAAACACATTTACTGCACATAAAAAAAAATATAAATTTCTATACCAGGTAACTAAAAATTCTCAATTGGTCCAAGTGGTCAACTTACTAACTATCTATTAGATGTTAAGCCAATATATATACATTTCCATTTTTCCCCAATAAAAAAATCCTGTTTAAAACACACACACACACACACACACACACACACATACTGAAGATTGGTGGCTGCGATTTTTTTTTTTTTTTTTTTGGAAGGGGGAGGGGGGGGGAGGAGGAGGTTCTGTTGCAATATTGTACTTGTATTAAATTTATTTAAGCAAATTCAGAGAATTGTGGTCCCCAATTTCAGGGTCTTATTGATTGGGACACAATGATCTATGGCATATTGTAACTGTTTTGTCTGTCCATCATGTCAAAAACAATCTTTCTTTTTTTTAAAAGAAATAAGTTATGTTTTGGTGCAAAAGTTACTAGCAAAGATTAAAGATTATGAAACTCAAACTTTGAGGTCTAATTCCTGAAGTAAATAAAAAACTTTCAAATGTTTTGATGATATTTTTAAGATGGTTTTTAAGATATTCCTATAATTGCCAGCCCTGTCTGTTGTAAGTATGGAGTGCTTAAAAATTTAAGAGGCAGTCCACCAAACAAGAGGCCCATGGGCCACATTGCTCACCTGAGCACATTGGCTAGGCAAAACCACAAATCAGTTCAGTATTGAAAAGGTTACCGGGGGGGGGGGGGGGGGGGGGGGGCTGATGATGCTTTCATGTCAATATAACAAATGGCTTTGTTGTACTTGAGTAAATTTTGAAAAAATTTCCCCATATAATCCTTTGTAAAAATTTGATCCCCCATTGTGGCTCCTCCCTATCCCAGAGGTCAATATTTGAACAAACTTGAATCTACACTACCTGAGGATGCTTCCATATCAATATGACTAAACATAGCTTTTCTGTTCTTGAGAAGAAATATTTTTTCTGCATGTTCTTATGTAAAACTTTCGATCCCCGATTGGGCCCCACCCTACCCCCGGGGTCATCATTTGAACGAATTTGATTTACACTATCTGAGGATGCTTCCATATCAAAATGACTAAACATGATTTTCAGTTCTTGAGAAGAGGATATTTTCCTATTTGTTCCTATGTAAAATTTTCAACACCCCATTGTGGCCCATCCCTATCCCCGGGGGTCATCATTTTAACAAACTTGAATCTACACTACCTGAGGATGCTTCCATATCAAAATGACTAATCATGGCTTTGCAGTTCTTCATCAGAAAGATATTTTCCTATATATTTCTATTTAAGACTTTGATCCTCCATTGTGGCCCCACCCTACCCCAGGGGGTCATGATTTGAACAATCTTGAATTTATACTACCTGAGGATACTTCCACATAAATATGAACAATCAGGGCTTTGCTGTTCCTGAGAAGAAGATTTTAAAAATTTTTCCTATATATTTTTATGTAAAACTTTGATCCTCAATTGTGGCCCCGCCCTACCCCCAGGGGTCATGATTTGAACAAATTTGAATTTTTACTACCTGAGGATGCTTCCATATAAATATTACCAATCAGGGCTTTGCTGTTCTTGAGAAGAAGATTTTTTAAAGATTTTTCCTATATATTTCTATGTAAAACTTTGATCCTCCATTGTGGCCCCGCCCTACCCTCGGGGGTCATGATTGAACAAACTTGAATCTTCACTACTTGAGGATGCTTCCATATAAATATGACTCACCATGGCTTTGCTGTTCTTGAGAAGAAGATTTTTAAAGGTTTTTCCTATATATTTCTATGTAAAACTTTGATCCTCCATTGTGGCCCCGCCCTACCCCCAGGGGTCATGATTTGAACAAATTTGAATCTACACTACCTGAGGATGCTTCCATATAAATATGACCAATCAGGGCTTTGCTGTTCTTGAGAAGAAGATTTTTTTTTTATCAAGATTTTTCCTATATATTTCTATGTAAAACTTTGATCCTCCATTGTGGCCCTGCCCTACCCTCAGGGGTCATGATTTGAACAAACTTGAATCTACACTACCTGAGCATGCTTCCATATAAATATGATTCATCATGGCTTTGCTGTTCTTGAGAAGAAGATTTTTAAAGGTTTTTCCTATATATTTCTATGTAAAACTTTGATCCTCCATTGTGGCCCCACCCTACCCCTGGGGGTCATGATTCGAACAAACTTGAATCTACACTACCTGAGGATGCTTCCACATGAGTTTCATCTTCCCTGGCTTTGTGGTTCTTGACAAGAAGATTTTTAAAAGATGCTATTAATTTTTCACTAATTCTTTATTATCTCCCCTTGAAAGAGAGCATGGCCCTTCATTTGAACAAACCTGAATCCCCTTCACCCAAGGATACTTTGTGGCCAGTTTGGTTGAAATTGGCCCAGTGGTTCTTGAGAAGAAGATGAAAATGTGAAAAGTTTACGACAACAACGACGCCGACAACGACAACGACGACGACAGACAACGGACAAATTTTGATCAGAAAAGCTCACTTGAGCCTTTGGCTCAGGTGAGCTAAAAACCAGGCAATGGGTGGCACATCGCATGTCATGGATTTTAATTATTTTTTGCATGTAGACTTATTCAAGCAAATGTTTACACATGGCAACATCAAAAATTTTTTTAGTGTTCCTCTAGTCCTATTTTTGGTAAGTGCTTAATTTTAAGTGCAAAAAGGTCAACAAGTTGGTTAAAAGTTTACTATGTTTTTGTTTTGTTTTATTTGAAACAGATACTCAAAAACTGAATATGTCAATAAATATTATTTAAAGTATAAACCCTTATCTTTTATAATATCAATGAATAAGACACCAATTTATATTTCTTTAGAAAAAATTATGTGGTCTAAACTTCAGTTAAGCAAGTGACTTAATGAAGTCACTATCCAATTTTCATTACGTTCTAAAATCCAATACATTGAAATGTCAGAACTTTCTCCTCATGTTATTATGAATTCAAAGTACAAATTGTTGAATCAATTTAAAAAATTGGTGGGAACAGATATATTGAGTGAAATAAGAGGCCTCAAATTATCTACTTTTTATGAATTTATCCAAATTAAACCGATCCCGACCGGAATTATATAAAGAAGAAAGCTACTACGATTTCATCATAAAATTTGGTTGTTTTGTTTCAATATGGTTTACAAATTACTTGATTTATTTTTAAACATGTTTTCTAGGTGGCAATTACCATTAATTTGATTACTTAATAATTATGCATTAATTTCGATCGGGATCGGTTTTATTTCAATCGGGATTGGTTTCTATATTAAAAATTAGAAATATTTTCTAAAATCGCTCTTCGTTGTATTTTATCATAAGAATATGTCTGTGTTTTATTTCTTTTCTGTATGTTACATGGTTTTAGATGATGTTATCCATAGATTACATATATCTTAATTACTAAATGTTTTTCAGGTCCATTAAGATCTTTTGAATTACTTGTAAAACATCTGTTTGATTTCTTGATACACACCTAAAAAAAAAAAAAATATTTATTTCATGTAACAATTAATAGCAAATTTTAAGCTTAATAATAAGATATCTCACTTCCAAGAAAAATAATCTTTTAAATTATCTGGAATAAAAAGAAAATCTAAAAAACAAAAAAAAAAGTCTTGCAGTGGCGAAATTATACATGCACGTACTTTAATCCAGCAAGTATTTTTTTTTTGTGTACAGCCTCGGCTTTAATCCAATTTTTTTCATCCATTCATCATATTAGGGAATATTTTCCTGCTCTAAGAAATTTAACTTGAAATAAATAAGAAAAAAAAACCTGTACACTTACATACATATAATCATGATAATAGAGCCCAGAAAAAAAAAGCGGTGGGGGGGGGGGGGGAGGGGTCGTCTGGGCGGCATCCGTTTTGTAACTGGTTTGATAATAATGAGATATTTTGGAAATTTACCAACCTACTGACTTATTTTAACTCCATATGATATAAAGTATAAGGGTATGTGGAACAATTGTCAAATTTTAAAAACAAAAATAAAAAAAAGTTCCATTGAATCATCTGCCGTTTTAGTGTCAGCTTGAAGTGGGGCGTCCAGCAGTAGTATTGGCAACATTTTCCTCATTAAGTAGTAAATTTATAGATTTCTATAACTTTTTTTTCTATTTCAGGTTTTACATTTTTAAAAGATTAAAGTCTAAACAGAATCTGAACCACCGACACTAATAGTAAACAATTATTGCTAATTAGTGAAGTGGGATGTGACGAGTACTTCCGTTCTTACTTATTCGGTTTGACAGTCGATCGTGAGCAATCGTATAATGTTGACTGCATATTTGATATTACTGCATATAAGTTAACATATTCAAGTATTAACAACACTTTATGAAGTGCACATCTCGACTTTGCTGAATTTAATGTTGCGTTAATCTGGAATATTCATCATTACTGAATAATAATCTTTTCACATCCCAGTTTTATCAGAAATGTTCATAATAAATTACACTAGAAAAATTATTTTTAGGAATTATAAAATACCAGTATATGCATGTGCTATTAACTCATTTAAAAAAATAAAACAATTTATATAATCTATTATGATTACTGTAAAGACGTTTTGTACATTCAGGGCCTGGGAAGGGGCCGCGCCATGCGCCATATGCGCATACTGTCGAAAAATGGCGCAATGAAATAATGGTGCGCAGCGCCATGCGGCGCGCCCCGCAAAATGCGAGTATGCATGTTTTATTACTTTGTAAGTTCATCGCAGTCCACACTATCTGTATTCTTCATTGAGGTTAGATGGAATCTGTAATGTATTATATAATAAAATCGGAACCATCATTCGGCATATTGACATCCACTGGCAAAGAAACAGTTTTTTTTCATGTCGTTCGATTCGTAAGTGTCAATTCGTTTTCGATGGTTGACCACAGCTTTACGAAAGTCACGCACATGGAAAATTTATATACCTTACAATGAAAAACCTTTTTCGGCGAAGTCCACTTATTTTAGCCTGTCCCGTGATCTCTAAATCGGCATCATTAAAAAATGGTGCTTTTGGTTTAAATATAATTTTTCTAAATACTAGTTGGTTAGAATCTAGATGACGATTGACTGAAGTTCTTAGAAACGGAAAAATCATTTGCACTAGTCATGCAATGTCATATGACTTTCCAATTCCTATCGCATTTTTCTTTTTAATTTTCCTAAATTTTGTTGTCAGAGATATATGCATTATCCTATAGCATCATAATATGATTTATTTTAGAATGGCCCCAATATATTTCCCCTTGGCCCCTTAAATTTCAAAATGGCCCCATCATTTTATGAACAGTGGGGCCATTGGCCCCACCTGTTGCTTGACCTTCCCAGGCACTGGTACATGTATAGAATTACCTATCAATACTGACTCGTTTTAAAACATCTATAGCTGAGGTAACGCCCGTGAATAAAATACATTCTGGATCACAATATTATTTAATGCACTCGGAAAAGTAATTGGACAGAAAAGAGAAATTATTTAACTTAACTTTTTAAAAATCTTTTTCTTTGCACGTTTACATAAATTTACCAACTTCCGCGGAATATTTGCAACTACTGTGACGCAATATTAGATAGGTATTTGACGTCACTGATACATCAGTGGAATCGTGGATTCAACCTGAATAATAAAGCAAATTTTAAACTAAATATAATGTTTGGAGGTGAAAATTAATTCCGTTTTTGAAAATAAACCAATTATTTTTGGTTGAATGATATTCTTTAGCGTATCAGTTCTAAATATCTCATAGGGGTTCTGATAGTAAGATGTTTAGCCGATTTCCCAATGCTACGGGAGATAACTCTTTCATCACAGAATTTCATAAAAATGACTGTCTATTTTGCAAGAAAATTACTATTGAAAATATTTTTCCCACTGATTTTATTTTTTAAATTAAAAGATGATATATTTCTTGATTTAGTTTGGAGTGAATTATAGATCTGTTGAAAATGTATTAGAATTTACAGTTCTTTGTTTCCGACCTACATTCAATGGTTTATGTAGGGGAATTCAAAAAACAAAACAAAACGATATATTAGTAAATAAGCTATTTTCAAACAAATCTTTACTTACATTATTCCATATGGACTACGTTAATATCATTTTCAATAAAATATCAAATATTCGTCACATTCGATGTGCCGCCTATTAATACAATACTGCCTGGTTTTCTGGTGGACTGCCTCTTAAAAATTAAAAATTTTCCAAATTTCATAAATGGGAGAATAATTTGTCAAAAGTTGTATGAATAGGTTTCTCAGGTATACTACTACATGTACTACAAATACGTTATACCACATATAGGCAGGTACTCAATTTCTGGTTTGTCAAATGAAATTTCCAAGATTATTATGGCTAAAATTGGCTTACTGAAATTCAAAGGACACCCAATATGTGTGTAGAAAATGTAAGTAAGCACTAATTGTATACATGTCTGTTTACTTCTTTCAATCACAATTTTGTTTTTGAATGGTAACCATGAACGGTTCATGTGTTTGACCTGTGAAAGTCATACAAAAGCTCATAATGGAAAACAGGAAAACGGTTTATGTCAAAGTTAACAAGATTTTAGCACTGGCTTGTTAGTTTGTTCAATATTCATCTGTATGCAAATGCATGTTTTGAAATTTCAGATAAAAATGACATACTGGTACCAAAATTACATTCTACAGACTCAGTACTGTACAGATACTAGGGTCTTGCATACAGTGAGTGTATGTAATACATGTATCTGCTATGTCATTTGTCCATGTACACTTTCTGAGTTTTTGTTCCAGAGGCACTTGTTTCGTATAAGGGGCACCCCTACTTATTTTTACCACAAGGTACCTAACTCAATTTCAGGCATCCCCGCTTAAAGCTGGTATTTTGTTTATATATATCAATCATCAACCTACTTTAAAATGACATCGTTCGCTTTGAAAGACTTTTTTCTTGTCAGTTATTTCGGACGTCTCTGATCGATCCTCTTTATTGTAAACAGCTCATTTCTTCCTCGAAAATTATCTTGATACAAAATAAGACTACAAATGGGATACATAGACTTCCGGTTGGGTTATAAATGAAGGATAAAACCAGAGACCTTGGAAAGGAATACTCGTAAGTCTCTGGACTTATCCTACATTTATAAACCCAACCGGAAGTCTATGTATCCCATTCGTAGTCTTATTTTGTATTGAGATAATTTTCGAAGAAGAAATGAGCTGTTTACAGTAAAGAGGATCGATCAAAGACATCCGAAACGATTAATTTGACAAGCAAAAAGTCTTTCGAAGCGAACGATGTCATTTTAAAGTAGGTTAATGATTGATATATAAACAAAATACCAGCTTTAAGCGGGGGTGCCTGAAATTGAGTTAGGTACCTTGTGGTAAAAATAAGTAGGGGTGCCCCGTATACGAAACAAGTGCCATGCCTGTGTTCTGTTCTCTAAAAAAGGATACTATTCTGGATGAAGTGAGCTCTGCATTAACAAAACTTCATTTTCGCCATGTGTGAGACATGACTGGTGTTAAAAGATCCCTGGGCCATACTTTTACAATCAATAATTGATAATTATCTCACTCTTCAAAAAAAGGGGGGGGGGGCTGAGCTTGCGTACGTCTCAGTTGTTACATTGGTCGAGAGAAGTCTACAACACACGTTTATTTATGCTGCGGTGTATTTTAAGAGAGAACTTGATTTTTCAAAAAATGCACAAAAGGAAAAAAAAGCCATTTATCATGTTTATAAACTATTTGTAAAGTAAACTTACCTTTCCAGTGCAATGATCTGTTTTCGTTCAATGTGTTTAGCTTTCAAAGATGGCGCTGACAATAAATAAACATTATGAACTAACCAATCGAATAAGCCCAATTTTAAACTTTAAAACCCGTTCTTAAACAAACTGATATTTCCGGAAAAATATTCATTATATTTTTAAAATATATGTATTATATTTAACTATTTAGTGATCGATTCATTTATATAAAAATATTGACAATCTCTTATTCTCCAGAGAAATCTAAGGTCATTCCCTACAGTCCTCTGCCCTTTCTCAATTTTTAGAGTTTGCCACCTGAAATATTCCTTTTTTGGCTCAGTAGTGTAATCTAGTCCTACAGTGTATGTAACGTTAGGCCAATAATGTTTTATCTGAGTTTTTGAATTGACCACAGGAAGTAACCAATTGCCTAAAAATTTAATGTGTGCTTAAAAGTTAATTATTGGGAAAATGTACTTTTCAGGGACGTAGCATTGTTTTGAAAGTGGGGAGGGGGAGCAGGAGGGCAACCAGAGAAAAAACTTTTCAACTTACCTGAAACACAAGTTACTTGAAAAAAAAAAACAAAAAAAACAAAAACAAAACAAAAAAGGAGAAGGGCAACCAGAGAAAAAACTTTTCAACTTACGTGGAAAACTCGAAAATCCTAGTGGGGAGGGGTCCACCTTGTGTCAGTACAAAATTTTATTCATACACTACTACATTACCCTTATTTGACTATAATGCAACAAAAAGTGGGGGAGGGGGGGGGGGCAACCGGCCTTTCAACTTAAAAAGTTACGTATGGGAAAAAAGTGGGGGGGGGGCAGCCCCCGGCTCCCTGTTGCTAGTGCCTGCGTTTTTGTTTTCGTTTTTTTTGTTTTGTTAGTAATGCATGATCGATTACAAGTTATAGACGTGCAATATAAGTATATATCGAGAAACTCAAAATATTCGACATCTTCACCAAGACTTCAAAGGAACTAAAAAAAGTAAGTAAGTAAGTAAATTTTATTTAAAGTCGGCATTTTTTACAAAGTTTAACAATGAACATGAGCTCTGGAGAGCTCTTAAACCGACTATCACAGCTAAAAATATCACAGAGAAAACATTTACAACATAAATTAACATGCAAAAAACACATGTACATATATACACACGCATGGCAGATAAAACAAACTTAAGAATTAGAAAAAAGAACAGAAAACTGAAGAGCAAAATGACTGCATTAAGAACAAAAAAAAAATAATAATAATAAGCATCATCATAATAACAAGTTAGATAAAGCACTACATTAAACACATGGGATCAGATTAAAAAGCACTAATTGTATTAATAATAGAAAAATAAAATTGATAGCTTAGAAACTTAAAAATTCAAGCAGATACAGCTTAACCAAAATAAAAAAAAAAAAAAAAAAATAATTGAAGTTCCTCACCAACACACATACTGTCTAGTGATTGGGTCAGTCCCTACCTACATAGACAGGATATGTATTGTTGTGAGGTTAGGAAAAAGCAGTAATCAAAAACAAAAATAAAAGAAACTAGGATCCTGGAGAGCTTACACCTTTGCCATCATAGGATGTTACTCCAAAAGTTTCAGCCCCCAGGGTCCTTATTATTGAAAATTTAAGTAAATAACAAAGTTTAATATATAGATATAAAAGAAACTTAGAAAAACTAAATAAAATAAATTGAGGTGGTATCAGTAAAGCAAATGAAAGACTTCAAAAATAAATGAAAAACTGCAAAAATAGAAGACTGTGACTCTAAAATAAATAAGTAAATATTGTCTCATCAGCTATGCTGCCCCCACGCTGTGGTTTCTGCAGGAACTACACTTGCATTTTTCCCCCCTCCATGTATCAACTCAAAGGGACATGGTTCTTTAGAAATGTTTGTCATCAAATTTTAAGATTTTTCCCCAGTCTGTCACTAAAAAGTAATATCAAGATTGAACTGAGATGGCCGTTAGGTTTTGGATGCTTCGAGTGACTTAGATTTTCATACAGGCGCGTAGCTGTCATGTACATGTACAAGCGCGTAAGTCCGGGTCTGCACATATATTTGCTCATTTATTGAAAACTAAAAATTTACAGGCCCGTAAAAAGCGGGGGAGGGGGGGGCGTCCCCACTTTTTTCTGAGTATAGTATTTTACTATCGTAAACTTTCCTTTAGGTGCTGGTTGCCCCCCCCCCCCCCCACTTTTTGATGTTGTAAGGTCGAGCACTGGTGAATTCCAGGATTTGGACAGAAAATTACTTCTTTTTTTTTTTAATTTTGCTTGTCAGACCAATTTTGGGAAGTTGCCCCCCGCACTTTTGGTCAGTTAAGGTGTGGTTTTTTTTTTTTTTTTTTTTTTTGCTTTGTTTTTTGGCTTGTCAGATTTTTTTTGGAAGTTGTCCCCCCTCCCCCTTTTTGAAACCGTTGCTACGGACCTGATTTATAATCATGATAGAAAAAATACTTTTGACTTTCAATAATAAAATTCAGAAAAAATACAAACTTTTTGAGAGTAAATGTTCAAAGCAACTTACCACAGGGACATACTTTCTTTTTCCTTCAGGAGCCCATGTTAAAGCAATTCTCATATTGGTACTCTTCGGAGAATATGGCCGATCCATTTCCATCGCTCTAGACACAGGGTTGGTTTCTGTTCTTTTATGTAATTGTGGATTTCAGATATTATCTGGCCAGCTAGTGCCACAGTATATATTCAGGATTCTCCGAAGGCATTCACCTGGAGTGTATCCAGTCTTTCATCATCTTTTTATGGTTCTCCAGAGCTTGAAACAATACAATACAGATATCACTTTTTTATTAAAGATTCTTAGTTTTGTTCTTGTGCTGTCCATACTTGGCTAAGGGTTGAAAATGAACTTCTGGCTAAACCCTTCTTCTTATGTATGCCTCTGTTCCCCGTCTTGTCTATAATTGTGGCCCCTAGTAAAGGAAGGTTTCAACGTCTTCTACTTCTTTGCTTGTCAGACTGATGACATCATTCTTTTCCCATTGATGCCTTCTGTCTTATCCACATTAATTTTTTATCCTGTATATTTTGCAACATCAATAAGTCTGCTTGTTTTTTTTCCTTGCATGTCGGTGGATGTCAGTGCCAGGTCTTCGACATAATCTGTCTATTCTAAGGTGGACATAAATTTCCAGCGTGTTCCTTGAGTGTTTCTCGTTATCCAGTCCACCACAATGATGAACATAAAGTCAGACGTAAGTCACAAAACACATCCCTCACGCTTGTCTCCACTTCAAACTAGTCTGTTCTTCTCTATATCAGATTTAGTGCTTCCATCATATATTTATTTAATATTTATATATTGTCGCACTATAATTAAACTCAACCAGGGCAATATATGCATCTACATTTTAAACCAATTATTCGTAATAGATATAAATTATATTTCCACACTTGAGCGTCAACTTTTGACATTTGAATGACGCTATTTTTTGACGTTACAAAATCAGCCCCAGTTCATTATTCTGTGCACGACGTCATCTACTTCAGGAATCACATACTGTCAGTATATCCCCCAGCTTGTCCCTAATTATGCTGTCAAAGACTTTCTTGAAGTCTACGAAGCTAGTGCTTATATATACTGGTGCTTGCCACTCTATGGACAGTATGTATCTTAGGATTTATATTTGTTCTGATGTCCTTCTTCCTCTTCAATATACAGCTTGTTCTGGTTGTTTTAGATTGTCTTCTATTTCATCTCTTATTCTGTCTACCGCTATTCTGCAAAGCGCTTTAGATAGTACTGATAATAGTAATTCCTCTATTAGTTTTGTACCCTCTTTTGTTATTTTACAATGAGTAATCTGTTCCAATCTGGTGGTATCTCCTGCTCACTGACAGTTCTGCTAGCTCGGATGTTGTAGACGTCTCTTTTAATAGTTCTCAATTGGTGTTATCTATGCCAAAGTTTTTTTTCCGTTTTAGGATGTCATTTGTAACTTCCTCTTCTCTAACTGGCGATGCATCTATTTCTGTACATGTATTCTCTTGAATAATACATTCTTCAGGAAGTTCTGCTGGGACATTAAGAAAGTTCTCCTTCAAAGTGCTCTCGAATCTCTCTAATACCTTGACATCCTGGATTAGAAGCTCGCTATTTCTTGATGGTATGCCATTTGTTCAGCTTCTTCTCTTTCCACGGAGCTGTTTAGTCAGATGGTACACTTCGCTCAGATGGATTGTGTGTACTGCATTTTCTGCCTTGAACGTTATTTCTTTAAGGTTTCTTTTAACCTCTTTATTCTTGCTTTGTATTCTTTCTTATAATCCCTTATTCTCCCCGAGTTTGTTCTTCCTATTTGTTTTTTTCAGTTTCCTTCTTTCAACTCTGACTATGTAGGTTTCTGTGGTGAGCCAGTCTTTATGTTTCCCCCTTCTCACTCCTCAGATTTTTTCTGCTGTTTTGTTGTACATCTCTTTCACATGGGTCCACTTTTCATCAACTGCGTTTTCCTCTTCTGACGGTTGTTGGAATCTGTTTTTCTTTTCAAATTGGAATTCTCCGCGTATGCTCTTGGATCTTTCAGTATACTGACATCATATATCTTCCTGCTGTTTGTTTCGTATTTCTGTAGAGCTTCAGCCTTACTTTCGTTAGAATGTATGGTGATCTGAATTGGTATCTGCACCTACATGAACCTGACATCTCATACATGTACACATCTCCTATATCTGTCATTCACCATTATACATGGTAAATTCAATTTTTATCTCTTTCAGTAGACTCCCATGTAAGCTTGTATATGTCTGGGTGCTTAATTAAAGAGAGTTCCACAGATGATGATTCTGTTGTTTATGGCACACATTTCTGCTAACTTCTTCCTGTTTTCATTCAAGGTGCCTATTCTCGTACCATGACTCTTCCCCAGTGTTCAATTGATTTTCCAACTTTTGCATTTCCATAGTCATCTGTTTTTTTTTTCTTTTAAGGAAGGAAGTGTTTGGCCTCAAGTCCAATCCCATGTTCATGTCTAGAGGGCCAACATAGTAGTTAATAACGATTCCTACTATTTTTTTTTTTTTTTGTAGAAAAAGAACCCTAGGGGTCAGTTTTCTACATGTGCAACCTAAAAGAAATTGGCCCCCGATGAAAAATGACCCCAATCCCAAGACAGTGATACAAAGTTTAAAAAGAGGTGATTGATGCCTAGGTCTGGGTTTCAACGTTTGATTCTCTTAAATTGCGTTTTCCTAACGAACACTGGATGAAGACCCAATTAAAATTTGATATAACATGAGTTCCTATCCACACAATAAAAATCGTACAATAGATACATTACAGTGGCTATCAGTGAAAAATGTTATCTTAATCTATCTTTATCATCTGTTTCCTATTTGGATATTGTAACGATTTTAGATGTTTATGGCCAACTAACAACTAAAGTATATGAAAAACGAAATGACTTCAGAGTCGCCATTTCCAACGCCAGTTTGTTACATTTATTGCAGTAGTACTAGCATTCCACTATCGCCTGCATATGCTGTATATGTCTCCCAACTTATTTGGTACGCTAGAGCATGCTCTGAGTACGATCAATTTTTAAACAGAGGCAGAATAGTGACAAATAAGTTTGTGTTACAAGGCTTTCAACTGTCTTAATCAAAATCAGCAAGTTGAAATTTCCTGGGTCACTATAATGACCATTTTAACAAATACATTTATTTTTTTCCATTTTTGTGTCGCCTGCAGAGCAGAGCAACATTTAGGGATTACTATACCCGGCGTCTGTCTGTTTATCTGTCCGTCTTATATCTCGAGAACTGTAAGAGGTATGGATTTGATATTTTGTACATATATTGCTTGGCACTATGGCTTTTGTAAATTACCATGGTTACTGACTTCGTGACTCTTGACCTTTGACCTATTTTTCAAAAAATTTCATACTGCCGATAAACAGCATATTTTTTACAATGTACTTGATCTATGCCTTTGACCTACTTTGCAAAAAATACCCAGACAGTTTTATTTAACGTCTTTTGATTTTTGAGAGGCAGGGTTTTAATTAGTGCATTTATACATATTTATGAGCCCATGATACTATTCTTTGAAACTGTATGATATTCGATATTCCAGTGGATTATATAGACTGACAGTAAAGACAGGCTGAAATCTCTTTTGGAGGGTTGTTGAAAACATGTATTAATAAAATGATACAGAATTAATTACATGTATTTCTCATAATTTCAATTTAGTTTATTCATTTGAGGGTTAGGGAACTATACTTTCTTTGATTGTCAGATTCTACCGCAGTCTTATACTATCGGTGGATTTTTTTTTTTTTTTTTTTTTTTTTTTTTTTTTTTTGCACGAACTATAATGCTAGTAGATGACCACACTTAGATTTATTTACATCTTTTTGCACGAACTATAATGCTAGTAGATGACCACACTTAGATTTATTTACATCTTTAATGAAGCCACAAAGTAGGCAACACATGCGTTCCCTGGAACACTCTAGTTTATGTTGTAAGGTTATACATTTTGCAAGTTTAGAATTTTGATAAATCTAACATATTTTCAAAAAAAAAATCCATAAAGGCCTTAACTTTTATAAATACGGGACATAATGCAATAGTACGGTGACGTTGAAAAAATATATAATTGTTCGGACGAATTAAAAATATGTTCTGACAAATAAGATAGTAATTCTGAAAAGTTTGTTCTAACAAACAAGATATTTGTGTGTACAAATAAGTTCTTTTTTCGGACGAATTAAATATATTCGTACAGAAAATCAAAGATGGTACATGTATAAAGCACAACAAATCAAATACATGTTGGTTACGAGATATGGATATCTGATCAGGTTTTATTTATTGACTCCATTTCTTTGCAGTTTCTGGAGTTTCATGAAAATTTAACTCGCAGTTTTGGTTAAAATTGCTGCATCTCCAGTTTTGTTTACCATCTGTACTTATGAGATATAGATAAGATTCAAACTTTATTTAACAGCAAGAAAACTTGGCTGAGTCTTGTCAGATGTGTATTTATGAGATATAGATAAGGTCCAACCTTTATTTGACAGCAAGAAAACTTAATTTAAATGTTGCTTTATAGGACAAAAATGTAAAAACATGCATGCATATTAAATACATCGAAATAAGGAAACAGTTCTACAGCATTATTCTTTCTATTATTTTGTTTAACGGTGGTCGACTGTAGAACATAATATTCGTATATTGGTATATTATGCATTACACCAGCACGATGATAAACAAAGATTTTATGAATATTCATTATATCGAATAAATGGCCGTAAATGACACCCATCCGGCGAATTAATAGGTGAAACCACAGGGGCTTGTCACGGAATATTTTCGTTCTTTAAGGATATCAGATCCTCAGCCAGAAAGGATAACTCTTAAATTTATTATTTTATTCAAAAAGTCTCAAAATGAAGATCTTTTCATGCAACAATTTTCATTTTATGCATCTTAATTGATTCAAGGTTCTAAGTCTTAGAAAAGGTATTTTAAAAAGTTTACCTTTGTACCACAAAAAAAGAAAAAAAAATCATTTTCAGAGAAATCAAATTTCCTTTAATCTGTCATTAGATATCAATGCTTATTAGCATGATATGAAATTAGACGTGATTTGTGATGTCTAGCAATGATAGCACAAGCATTTTACACCATGTATTATATGACAATTGAAGTAAATAGAACTAAATACTGTATAAGCATAAAAAAGATGCAGTTTTCCCCAAATGCCTGGATACCTATATTATTTTTTATCCTAAAATATATTTGTTAATCAATTTTCAATTAGAAAATGCATAGCTGGTGTTTATATTCGCATTTCCTGAAAATATATTCGAGATTTGATAATTTTCCATATATAATATGATTAACTATAATGATGAACTTTGAAGAAAAAACATGGGTAAATTCACGTTACTCTGTGAAATCAGAGACATTTTTGAAAGCATTTTCAATTACTTAAAAGCCAATTTTCAGAACCTGAGGATTGGACTACCTTAAATGTAGTTGCCCTACTATAAAAATAAGATTGTGATGTTATAGAAGGGGTAACTATATTTAAAGAATAAAACTATTTCGGGGCTTACAATTTTATTTTTGCAACTATATTTAAAGAATGAAAATATTTCATAACAAGCCTCTGGTGAAACTAGCTGAATGACCACAGCAATCTGAAACTGATGTCATGCATGCTCGAATGATTTCTGAAAACGATGTTCTGCCTCTGCTCACATGTGCTTGAAGATAGGGCCCTCTTCCCCCGATATAGACCCCCGAGCCGTTTCGACTTTTATTCTCATATACGGTAAGTGTGATGTTTGTGATACCGATTACCTAAAACAAACATTTTATTTAAAAAAATCTACCCACTCTAATGTTATACATGTAGATTTATATAGAGACAGTGGGTAGAATTTTTTTTATAAAATGTTTGTTTTACCTCTAGCTGTCTCTGCCCGATCATTATTCTGATAAAAGCTAGCTAGAGTTGTCAAGGTCACCAAAATACAATATAATTGACTTTTCCCCAATAAGATGGTTTTATGAATTCATTTTTTTTTCTGATTACAAATGTAGGAATAACCATAGTATTGGATAGGTAAAGTATGGAAAGCCGTAGGGTATCCTACGGCTTTCCATAGTAAAGCTAAATTTGAATAATATATGTCAAGTATTTACCATTTCGAAATGAGCGCACATGTCACTTGTACTTGCTTGATATCTAAATAACCTTTTAAAAGTGTCCTTTCTGACATATTTTATTTTGTGAAATAATCTTGCAAGTCATGTTGCAGATTTTATTTGACGAGATATAATATGTCAGAAAGAAAAAAAAGGGCTAAAATGTTAGGGAAAACAAAATTTGATCAAGTTGTCTGACAAGACTTGCAGGTATGTGAAATTGCATCCGTATTTTTTTTAAATGATATATTCAATAAATTTTAAAAATATGGAGTGGGTTTCAGTATTAAAAAAAATATCAACGACTTTCAAATCCTCAAAAAGGAGTGATCTCGGACAAGCCTGAGTAAAACATATAGTTCTGGTTAATGTTAATTGAACGGATCCCCTCACAGCCTGTGAATTAAGGAGGTTGTCCAGTTTCATCTTTATCGGGGAGATACATATATATTGATGTACTCAACAACTGAATTTTACTACATCTTTTATTAACGTTAATGTGGATATATATGTAATAATTGTAGAACTCACTCATTACTACATTCGCTTTTGCCCAAGAACCCCCCCCCCCTCCACTCGATAGCTTCTCTCTTTTTGTGTGGTAATATATCTAAAATTGATACATGAAAGATGATTGTAGTTGTAATGAATTGTTTACTTATTTCCTCACTACACACAAAAATTTGTAGCACAAAGTTTCTTGAATCAAAAGTCCAACTAGCCATTTTTTCCCGAAACACCATATCATTTATTTACTAAAAACCACCTAAACTGCCTTATCCAGCTCCGCCCAGGGCTTGTCGAATATATAATGCCTCTTGTAAACTTTGAGGAGATCCAGATCCAAGGCCAAGTGCATTCTGTGATGCACCTGCCCCGAGCCCCTGACTGAGTGCCCAGGCTGCAGCAAGTCCTAGTCCAAGCGCTGCAATGGCGTTACTGGCAGATGAGGTTGAGGTAGTCGAACTTGAGGTAGACACTGGATCAACAGCTGAAATTACACAAGGTGATGAACAAAATGTTTAACAACTTGTATTCAATGTATCACTTAAAATATTGATAATCATAGCTAATCAGGTAAGTATAACAGTTTTTTGAGACTTGCAACAATGAAGCCCCCCCCCCCCCCATCTCTCTCTCATAAATACACCACCGTCAGTGATACTGGTGCAAGGGATACAGGTATATTTAAGCAAAGAAAGCATTTACTTCCACAGGCGGCTCCACTATATCCATAGTAACAGACACATTTTCCTGTAGTGGCGATCGTAGTGACTGGGCTACCCGTGGCCTCGAATGTATCAATCAAGCAGAAGCCATTCGCAGTCCCCGTACAAACGGTGGTGGCTCCGGGGTTACCAGATGTAGGTATGGTGCAGCTTTGTCCGCCATAAGCTGCAAGGGTCTGGCGAAGACCTATATTTGAAAAAAAAAAAGTTAAAAGTTTTACTGTTATATATATCCAAGTGAGTGGTATTGGTCATTAATCTTAAAGTTTCATAATTCTATATCCCTTGCACATAATATTTCTTCTTCCAGGAAACGGCAAATCTTTCTACTTTAAAAATAGTGACACATTTTGAGTATTAACTGTTTTTGCTAGTTCATTTCAATTAAATAAATTAACTTAAAAAAAATTAATAAAAGACATTTCATTTCCGTTCCATGATATTTCAATGTCCGGATCTTAACGGTCACTTCCAGGGGCCGGATGTCCACGTTTCACATTCTGCCCTAGTATACTGCATAGTTATTCATAATTCAAGCGGATTCACGTCAGTAAATAAATAAACGTACCGACAACTAGAACTCCCAGACACAAGAGAACCCTATAGTACTTCGCCATTTGCGAATCTGAAAAAAAAAGAACTGAGTAACATGCAATAACATAAAGGGCTTATTTTTTTTAAGTGAAATGAATTCAAAAAGAATGAATGCACATTAAAAGTTCTCTGATATTTTCTCTCACTTGATAGGAACACAAACCAAAGGTGACTTTATTCATTGCGTGGTCAAACATTCCCCGGGTACAATAAATTCTACATCGGATACAACCATGGCGTAACATCCGATAACCGTTGTCAGTTTTGTCCTATAAGAAAAAGGAATAACCCAGGATGGGGAAACGTTCGATCTTTCTTTACACAATAACTGTTTTCAGATGTCATAGCATACAGCTGACGCATTTATATCAAATCCCGAAATCCCAACTTAGTATATAAAATTCAAACATGGCTGTTGCACTTTAAATAAACATGTTGAATATAACGGTATATATCAAACCATACAGGAGTTGTTGTAGAATTGAGGAAGTGAAAAAAAAACGAATAGTGATCGATCTTATTAAAAAAAATACCCTACAAACAACAATTATACAGTGTGAACATGGCATAAAACGCGGATCCTGGAAATTCCAGAGATGGGATCTGGTGCTTGTCTCTTAAAGATCTTATAACTGAAATTCCGCGCTACCCGATATACTATATTTGTCCTCTATGATATATTTTATGTTGCGAAATAAAATAAAAAATCATAGTCTTTTTCCATTTTTTTTTATTTTGCAAAGTAAAATACCCTCGGTATATCAAATAGGACGTATATCTTAAATTTGTTTTCTTCCTTTTTTTTCTTTTTTTTTTCAAGAACTATTTATGCTGATATTCCCTACCTTAATGCAGGTTTATTTTTCCTTCTTATGCAAAACAAGCACTACAAACATGCTGTATCCGATGTAAAAAAGGTTGTACCAAAGTAACTTTTGACCTTGGCTTCACATATAGCAAAACTCATTTTGTACAAAGCATTTAATACTTTTTTCCAGTCATGACAATGAAGCGACAAAGTCTAATTTTGTTTTCCCTTTCATTTTTAGATGGCGATAAAATTTTATGGTAGATGATATTCACCTATGAATAGGTCGTCTTGTGTTCGGGAGATGGAATACGGGAGTGTTAATGTTACGATGTATTCTATGGCCAATACACTATCAATCACGGTTATGAACGCGGGTAGAATTCGACAGGAGAGAGCACGGTTTCCTTGGCGCTACTGAAATGTAACACAAATGTACCTGTCACGTTACTACTGTGGTGGATAATATTGGAACGGGATTAAAAATTACTCTGAATCCATACAAAAACAACAGCAAAATGCAAATAGAATTTTTTTCATTGTTTAAAGAAACGAAGATGATTCTGTATTTAAGGAGGGATGCTTCAGTGCCAAAGTTTTATATTATGAATCTCTCTAAGACATCTCTTTTGAAATATGGTTTCAGCATGGAAAGATTAATATTAGCTTTTAAGTATTCATACATATTTTTTTGTTGTATTTTTTCAAAGGAAACATTAGATTTGTTTTATTTGCAAATATATATGCTGTAGAGTTTAAAATTTGCCATTAAAAAATGCGTAACATAAATATCTAATAAAACATGTCAAGAAGTCAGATAGGCATTTTGATTTTTTTCAATAAAATATAATTTATGAAACGAGGGTAAAAAATATGGAGGAAAATACCATCCCATTGATAACTCTTCTTGAAGAACCCCATTCCGCAGACGAGAAGAAACTAAACTGCATTTCAATATGGTTGCAATGACCACATCAATAATCTTTCAATCCCTCAATGTGCCAATTAATGTGAATGTTATCAGATTATTTAAAAGTCGTCATGTTGCAGATTTTATTTAAGAAATAAAATATGTCAGAAAGGACAGTACACCAAGAGGTGAACGTATTCACGACATCGTTCATACAATATTAAGCCAAACTTTATCTTTCGTCAATAAACAATTAGGTCTACCTCACATTTGTATCAAATTTTACCCTGTACCACTGGAACTTTAGTTGGACTATTCGAAGAAGCCACATTAAGTCCGTACTTGGATTCTTCAACACTTGTTACCAAACACAGGCTCCTTAAATTGCCATGTGTCACAGAAGATAATAATAATTTTTCTAAATCAACCCGTGAATTTCTTAGGCTGAAATTTGACAACAAAGTTATAGATGCTTTAAACATTAGCAACATTCTTAATCAGAAAAAAATTCAGTCTTGTATTCACCATATTTTCAGTTGAGATTTAGACTATGTTTTTTTTTTTTTTTTTTTTTTTTTTTTTTTTTTTTTTTTTTGATATTCCCCAAATGTTGGATTCAACATTTTCAATTAAACAAACTCTACAATGCCTTGACATTGATAATCTAAAACAAAATCCTCCTAAGTGTATTTTGTTCACTACTTTTTTTTCAACTACATAGGGTTGTTCCAATTGCCATTTAAAATGTCCACTACATTTCATACCTGATAATGAAGAGATTTTTTTTTTTTTTTTTTTTTTTTTTTTTTTTTTTTTTACATTTTCTGTATGACAACTTTTGATGAAATAAGAGTATTTGAATGAAAGCTATTATTAAATAGTAATCGCTAACTGAAAAATTCGGCCCTAGATACAATATAACATGAAACATATGCAAAGTAACGTAATTAACAAAAAAGATGATTACTTAGCCGTTAAAAAATACAGCATTCTGAAATCGTATAGTTAAATTAATGGCACCATTAATTGTTTCAAATGAATGATTTCCATTTCATATAAGTGCTGTATTAAAGGTTAATGGATACTTTTTGATAATGAAGGTCACAAAAAAGGAAACTTCAAATTATATGGACTTTACTATAATATTTTTCATTTGTAGAAGAGAGAAAATATACACATTTTTCTAACAAAACAATATTTTCAACAAAGAAATGTATTCACTGTACTTTTTGTGACAATGAGATGTAACAAATTTTTTCATTAAGTTAGCACTAATTTGGAAAGTTCTTTTCAATATAGTAATTTTCATATTTTACTTCTGCGAATTGAATTTATGAAATATATTGTCTAAGAATACATTTGACCAAAGATGCAATTTTCTGTGCAAATCGTCAGTTTGTGACACGAGTTTTCAGAGGGTTTTGTGATACGTTTACGTTTCAAAATAGCATATACCCTGTAATATTATATTACATAATGAATTTTTGGCAGGTTTATATACCTTTATACTTTCTTTTTGCATATCAAGCACTTTAAAACATTGTTTTATTGTTGTGACAAGAAAATCTATGATTGGCACAACTTAAGTAAATTTGGGTCTATAGTCCAGCTGAGCACATCATTACTGGCGATGTAGGTTCAGTTCGAATGACGACACTAAAGTAATCATCTCCAAAGATTCTAAATTCAAAAAGTCCAGATCTTTCAAACAAAACTTCATTTCCATTATGAATTCCGCTAAGGAATATGCTAGATGATATGAAGGGAAAGGACTTGACACGCTGCTAGAATGGATAAAAAGTTTTAGAAACAGTACATTAAAGAATCGCATTAGAATATCAAAGGCCAAAATGCGAACTATCTATCCTTCAGTTTTCAGTAGACCGGAAGTGATAAAGGAATAGGAGAGACTATAAGAAAAATATGTTTTTTTTCCAGCTGACAATGCTTGTAACAATGTAGTTGTTATTTGTAAGGCTCATTATTAAATACTTGCTTTTAATTCTACATCTGGTAAACCATGAAATATGGAGATAACGAACAATATTCAAGCTCAAAACTCCATTAAATAGTACAAATCGGGAGCAGAGCACACATGGACCTCCAAAAACATCAGAGTTGGGATCACGTGCCATGGAGGAGTGAGCATCCCCTGCCGACCGGTCACACCCGCCGTGTGCTCCCTGCCATGATCGGTAAATAACGGAAAAATCCGTAGACAATTCAGTGTGTAAATAATGGCCTAACAATTATTATGAAAAACTTCAGTCAGCATATGACTTAATGATAGATTGTATTTGCTTACAAGGTCATTGTATCGACCATAGAACTTACGAAATGATGACTTTAAACGAGACTATTGATATTTTTGTTTCATCAATTTGTTTGTCAATAAATTACCCCGTTTTAGAAATTGTTTATATATAGAGTATGCTCTTGGGTATCGAATCAACTGAGAGATATATACCCCATATGCAGGTGATAATTTTGTTTCTCATATTACCGTTATTATATTGACTACAGATTACTCCGTCTACCTGATCAATACATAGGACTCACAGTGGCTGTGATCGTTCGACAGGGGATGCTTACTCCTCCTAGGCACCTGATCCTACCTCTTGTGTTTCCAGGGGTCAGTGTTTTTGCCCTGCTTACGATTCGTATTTTACATGATTTATAAGATTGATCAGTGTTCGTTATTTTCATCTTTTATATGGCTACGAAAGCTGACAGTGCTCATTTTTGAGAGGGTAAAAAAAATAACTCGCTATATAACGATAGTTATCTCGTTATAACGAGATACTCACTCGTAATAACAGGATATTTACTCGTTATAAAGAGATACTAACTTGTTATATTACGAATTAGTTTAATATTGTTTTACCTTGTCAAAAATGAGTCTATCCGGCTTTCGTGGATATAGAGGATATTCAATGTTTTGTATATCAATATGGAATTTATTTCACGAGTGGGACAGGATTTTTTGATATTTTCATGAGTTCGAAGCACGAGTGAAAATATCAAAAAATCCTGTCTCACGAGTATGAAACTAACTATGAATCTAACTATGTGATGTATAAAGTTTAAACTTTTTACAGTTTATAAATATATCATTGATTAACAGATAGAAAGTATCATTTGAAAACAAATATTTAAAAAAATATATTTCAAAAAATTTGTATATCTCAAAAAAAAAAATGCACCTGAAAACCATCATTGCAGAAATAATATATGTTTATCAATGAAAGACAAGTTGGACGTAAATGGTCTCTGAAAGGCTGTTATTGAAAGCATGACATGTATAAAGACAACACCCCTATAAAATCCACCATTTGCAATGTACTTTCGGTTTCAAATCTTAACATTTGGACAAAATAAACAGGGAAAACAACTTTCCAGAGGCTATCGAAGTCCAACTTGCCCTTCATTGATAAACATATAATGTTTCTGCAATGATGGCTTTCACTAAAAGTACGGTATTGATTAGGTGTATTTTTTATAAAAATATATGCATTTTTTTAAAAGAATGTTTCTCGATAAATATTTTAAGTATTTGTTATCAAGTGATACGTTCTATCTGTTAATCAATGATATATTTATAAACTGTAAAAGTTTTAACTTTATAAACAAGATAGTTTTGGAGCTATTGTAAAAATAAATTTTTGGACATGTTGACCTTTGGCAAAACCTTAACTCTATCTTATAACAGGCCAGGGATTTAAAAAAAAAAACACTCTTCGTGAAGGAAAGGAAAATCGTAAGTTTTGCCGCACTTCTGATATTCTCACACTGTGAGAATACCATTTTGGTATCCTTTCACACTGTGTCAGAATACTACTTTTATTCAGTAAATAAATTACAGTATTTCACTGTTGAAAATGTAATAAATACATGTATACTGAAGAGGTAGTGCAAAAATAAGTATAACAATAATGTTAATTGGACAAATGTATGATGGATGGTGGTGATGGTGGGGATTATTTCATTTTCAACCACGTGCACTTGTTTCCTATACAGGGCACCCCTTACTTTTTCTTTCCACAAGGTACCTAAGCTTCAGACACCCCACTTCAAACTCGTTTTTTTTTTATTTATTTATCAATCAGGCCATCTTTAAAACATTGTTTGGTTGCCCTCTCCCGACCTAAAAATGGCCCGACTCAAAACTTTTTTTTAACCTGCAGGAAACATTTATTTTTCCTTTTATACATTCTGGAAAAATACAGAATTGATGTTGAAATTTTCGGGAAGGGGGGGGGGGGTGGGGGGAGAGAGGGCTCCAACGTACCTATCGACCCATTGGAGATGGCAAACAAACAATACATTTTAAGTTGGCCTCATGAACCTACTTCAGCGAGCTTTCATTCTGAAGTCTACCTGTTTAAAGTAGGTAAATAATTGATAAATTAATAAAATACGAGTTTGAAGTGGGTGTGTCTGAAATAGAGTTAGTTACTCCTACCTTCTGGAAAGAAGAAGGAGGGATGTCCTGTTTACGAAACAAATACTCGTGTTTTCAACAGTAAAATACTGTAATTCATCCAATGAATGAAACACTTTCACAGACATGTTATTTTCATTTTGAAAAATGATATTGACTGTAATCATTTTTTTTCAGATTTTTTCTGTAGGTATTAGAGAGCATGGTATTGATTTAGTGTTGCATATATCATTTGGTTTGGCCTTGCACAGACTTTAATTTCAACAAATTCGAACTAAACGAAGCACATTTTTACTTTGTCAAAAGATTCCTCGGTAAAAGCCACATCGGATAGAATTTTAACATTAGAATACAATATAGAAAAAAAAAATCACACAAACGACTAATTAAAAGAGCAAAAGAAATATGGTCTTTAGAGAAACGGAATTTCAAGAAAACATGCCAAATCAATATGTTGATTATTGCAAAAATTTCTTAAACGAGTACATGTTTTTGAAAAAGTATTATTATTACCATAAGAAATATATCAGAGTTTATATTAGTTGACCTTAAAAAAAAAACCAATGATTGTTTAAAAATGGTTCATTTGTAAATATATGTTAAAATGGAAGCTAATTTTATAGTGGCCTAAAAACAAAATATAATGTTAATTTATTTGGCATTTATTTTTTATTATTCATTTTAGACACAAACTTAAAGTTTGAAACAACTGGAACAGTTAAATATGTAAGCACAAAATACCTAATTGTTGTGATAAATTTAAATAAAGATTTATAAACTTCTAATGGATCACATTTATTTTAGGGAAAAAATCTTGGTGTTTGAAAACAACTGATTGCAATTTTGTTATACTGAATTTAACAAAATTTTGAAACATAATATGTGAATTTTACAATTAAATGATATCTATTTGTCCAAAAAGATTTTTTTCCGACAGATCAATGAGGAACTATTAGAGTATAACTCTTTAGTAAATCTATTGAAAAATAAAAATAAATAAATAAGTTAATAAAATTAAATTAAACTTTCAAATGAAACCAAATGGAGAAATATTTTTGAGAAGTCGAAAAATGTTTCTGAAAAATCATATGTATAATAAAGACTGTTGCAGAATTTTTACTTTTTACTACAGACTACCACATTGTTAATAATTACTAAGTGAATGAAACAAGTGCTTCCCCTTTTCTCTCGCTCTCTCTCCCTCTCTTTCTCTCTCTCTCTGTAGAAAATAACCGATTTAAAAACTGAAATAAATCAAAATGGATTGAAAAATAATTATAATGAAATCCACAAGAAAACAATACATTTAGACTCAATTATAAAGAACTTACTTTTAAGGAAACCTCTGTTATAAGGAAACTTTTTTTAATTTCATAGAAGACTTTGCACTCTATTCCTTCTACAGATATATAGACTCTTGATTATTGCAGTCCCTGCTACTTCCTTATAACCAAGTTTTACTGGATTTCTGTCTTTGTTTCAGATTAAATAAATACAAATCAAAACATAAACTTAAATTATTTATAACAAGAGCGTGTTTGAGGAAAGCCCGATGCTCATGTTTAGAAATAGCTTTTAAAAGACGCGCTTAATTTGTTAATAATCTTTATTTCATATTATGCAACTATCTTTTATAAGAAAAACGTTATGTAATTCTATTTCAGAAGGATTCAATGTACAAATATTCACTTATAAAAAGTGGAATAATATATTGCTGAATTCAGCAAATTTGTTACCCAATATCTCAACACTCAATTCTATTTCCCCAAGCCACCCAAACTTCCTACTCCTGTGCCCAATCCACCATAGCCCTGCTGCCCGACTCCACCTAAACCCCCTAGGCCACTGCCTGGTCCACCAAAGGCCTGCTGTATATACAAGGCCTCCTGTACAGCCTGTGGAGATCCTGCCTCTATGCCTAGTGGGCCTTGCGATCCACCCGACCCAAGTCCATTAGCAAGTACATAAGCACCGACGCCTCCTACTGCCAAAGCTCCAATGGCATTAATAGCATTGGTATTGGTTGAAGAGGTTGTAGGATCAACAGCTGCAAAGATAGAATTATTTGAAAGTAAACAATAAATTTAACTTCTGTATATTCTGTGTTGAACATGAAAAAGAAATATAAGCTCTCTCTCTCTCTCTCTCTCTCTCAGTAAATACCCAGTTCGATATTTTTCTGCAATGAACAATTACGAAAATACTTAAATATCATGGAAATACTTACTTCCACAGGCTGCCCCACTGTATCCCTGATAACAGACACATCTGCCAGTGGTAGAGATGGAATTGAGACTAGGGGTACCTGCAGTGGTGAATGTATCAATCAGACAGAATCCGTTTGCAGTCCCCGTACAAACAGTAGTGGCCCCGGGGTTACCGGACGTGGGTATGGTGCAAGTTTGTCCACCATAACCTGCTAAGGCATGACGAAGGCCTAAAATTGTCAAAAAATAATTGAAAAGTAAATCTTTTAAATACATCAATGATATTTAATGTAAAAGATGCCCGAATTCAATTGGACTTGACCTGAAAAACAATGTTAATTTAAATATATCAAACCATTCATTACAATGCGTAGATACAATAAACCACCGGTTCCTCTGTAACATAAAATCTCCACTAGGAATTTCAGCACCGATGCAAAGCTTATTCAGGTAAAAAAAAAATTCCTGCTTTTGTAAATTATTACTTCTGCAGTTTTGTACAACAGTTTTGTTTTTATTACCAGTCGATTGATATTAAAAAAGTGTAATGATCAAACCTACCTACAGCGATGAAGCTCAGGCAAAGCAGAGACTTATTGTGCAGCATGATTGTGAGGCTGTAAGAGAGAGAGAGAAAAAAAAAAACAACGTTGGAGATGAGATAAGGACTTTTTTTTTTTTACAGATTCGGTGATCATTCAGCCAATTTTTTTTTTTTGATTAAAACAATTCTCAGACATTTGTTAAAGTTATTTACTTCAGAGACGGATGAGTAGTGACGTAATTTTCAAACAATACTCTGAATTGAGTTTGCTGAAAATGACGTCGTCAAATGCAATTCTGGGGCACCGGGATATATTTACAAAATTCTTTTGTTTTGAATATATAGTTTAAATCCCTCAAAGACGAAAAAGATTTTGAATTAACATAACACACTAGAACGGTATAACGTTAGCAGAGAGGGTATTTGTAAATGAGATTCACTAACATTTTCAACTCAGCACCAATAAAATAGGGAGGCCTAACTATCATGTTAAAAAACGGTATGGGTCACTATCGACGTTAAACTTTTTGTTGTTTTTTCTGTTTCTTACGAGGACGGAAATTTGATTTTGATCAAGAAATGATGAATTTTAATGCGTCCTTGAGTCAAGATTGCTTTGCCAGTGTATTTGAGAAAAAAAGTCAGCGATGTCACGAAATGCATGTTGCGCAAAAGACCATTATTTTAAAAAGGAATGATCATGATGTAAACTACCTTTGCTTTTGAGCGCCGACGTACGCAGTACATGCTTTCTTTATTTTTACATTTTTTTCTTAATCAAATGTGATATCATTATGAAACTTGACATTCATGATCACTAAATGTTGATATATATATATATATATATATATATATATATATATATATATATATATATATATATATATATATATATATATATATATATATATATAACAAAAAACAGCAAACCATATTTCTAAAATTGACTTAGTTCATATGCTTTTACATTCGGGGGAAATAATTAATGTTTATATAATCTTGATACATTCTTATTGAAAAAAAAAGACAGAGAGATGGGGAGAGAGAGAGAAAAAAAACCTTGATATTTACCTCAAAAGGAAACTGTCTGTCCGGACGAAGACGTTTAAGAGAACTAAGAGCTGGAGGGGGCATAATCGAACCTTTATTATCTCTCTACAGCATGTAGAAACGATAACACAAGCCAAGTGCTTTCACCGGGTCCGTTACAATGTAACAGTCCTATTCAGTTAACACATGTTAGAAGACCGGACTCATTAACCGGACATAATTAACTACAGCGTCATCGATCACCAAGGAGTACCCCCGTTATTGATATATGGGCCTACAAAACTCGAGCACTTGTGATTTCAGTTTTCTATACGGGGGTTATGTCTGCAGAATAAAAACTTTTTGCTCTCAATTTTGAAAGAAATATTCTGTACTTTTGAACACGGTCTGGCCAGACATTTATTTGCGCTAATACTGTTTGTTAAATAAGAATGAAAAGAATAATGACATTTTTTCCGGCACAATAATTATAAACTTGAAAAAAAAACCCTTATTCAGCAAAAATACCTGTATGACAGACGGTGTACCCTTAAGGAAGCTGTGCACATTGATGAAAAATGTTGCTTTTTGGACTTGAAGAAAGATTATTAATGGGTTTATACATGTAAATCATACAAAGGTATATATACTAAGTTAATTTAGTTCATTTTCAACCTAGAGTACCTGCCCTATTTCCCCAGGAAAAATGTTCGGAGACAATGAAATATTAGTTAAGGACCCTCTATACACTGATGAAAAAATGTTTTTTGGACTTTGGGAAAATTATAGAGCGTAAGGGAGTATATTTTGAAATTAACTAACTCATTTTTAACAAAGGGAGCGTGCCTTTTTTATCCCGGAAAAATCTTTAAAGACAATGAAGTAACAATAAAGAAAAATCGCTTTTGCTTACTCAAATGGAGAAAATACATACAAATAAAGTTTTCAACTACTATATCTTGGTCTAATAAAATGTTTATAATACTTGGATTTATTTTAAATTGTGTCATACAGTACAGATAACAATTTATTCTATTTTATGTCAAATGGTTGGTCAACCTACTACACAAAAGTACCCTGAAATTAGAGTGCATTGTAGAGAGGGTCCTTAACAGTAAATAAACACTGACAGGACGTCAGAGATGTTCAAGCTGTAGAATGTAAACTAAGATGTGTCATTAATAACCTAAACTGATATAAGATGCAGGCTATGGAGTTTCAACAACTTCTGATGAATAAATTCCATGTACTAGAAAACAAAATACGGATAGGCCTATAGTGGCTTTATCACGAAGTTGCAATTGCGTGAAAATAGTTTTAATTTTTTTTTTTTTACCTTTAACTTCATATAGAAGTTAGAAATAATGTCATTAATCATTCTACTTTTAAAAGTGAATTGTATTCAATATTCCGTTTAAAATATTCCACTGTCTAGTTAGTAGAGTATGCCAGGGCATCAACGATAGTTAGAAACGTGGGATACTTTGCATAACGGGCGTAGCCCGTTATGCATAAATTATCCCACGTTTCCAACTATCGTTGATGTCCCTGGCATACTCTACTAACTAGACAGTGATTCCTTATATTTCCATTTCATTGTGAAATAAAATTGTAATTTTAGATTTTAAAAATGTAGACCAATAGATTTAAATTACACGAGGCCTCACATGTCAATTTCAATAGTCCCCGCCCACTGACGTCAAACACAAAGACAGCCGCACGAGATTTACATGCATATTAGGCCGCCTTGGCTCCTGACCTATTGCTTGGCGAAAATTACATTCGGTAGAATGATCAAGAAATCAACTCAACTAACTTTCTCAGAGTTCACGGAGAAAACAAATAGAAATGGAAAAATTATTATATATTTCCATTTCTAAGTGTTTCCTCTGTGATAACTCTTCGAAAGTTATGTAAGTTGATTTCTTGATAATTCAACCGAAATGTTAATTTCGCCAGGTGAAAGGTCAGGAGCCTTATATGCATGTCAATCTCGTGCGGCTGTCTTTGTGTCTGACGTCGGTGGGCGAGGGCTATTGAAATTAACATGGGAGGCCTCGTGTATTTTAAATCTATTAGACAGCATTTTTTAAAAAAAAAAAATTATAAATACAATTTTATTTCTCAAAGAAATGTAAATAAAAGGAATCACTGTCTAGTTTATTGGGTATGCATACCCAACAAACTAGACAGTGATTCCTTAAATATTAAAAAAGTATTATATATATCTGAATGATATTTTTAGGCAGAAGTTAACATAGAAAGATTAAGTTTATTGTTTTCCATGAGCCGTTTTGATGGGGCGGCCCTGCCACAGTAAAATCTATGCAGTATCTAGATGCAAAGGGATGTTACTCTAATATGTTTACCATATCGGCGACAGAGTTTTTTTTAAGGGCCCTGTATACACCAGTGCAAAATGTTTTTGGACACTGAGAAAATTATATTGTATAAATATGTAAATTTTGAGCTTAACCATTTAATTTTCAATGTATGGTACGTGACATTTACCCCCAGGAAAAAATGTTCAAAGGCAACAAAGTATCAATGAACAGAAATCACTGTTGTTTACTTTAGTGGAGAAAATAGATGCAAATAATTGTGTTTCTATTAATTTATCTTGACCTTTTGTTTAGAATGCTTGAATTGATTACAAATTGAGTAAATTCTGTAGATCTCAATTTATTTAAATTTATTTAAATCTAAGGGCAGATCACTCTAACTGCAGCAAAAACGACAGGATCAGAACTCTTTAGTGTACAGTGGGTTCTTAAATGAATTTTACTAGATGAAATCCCGCGCAAGCGCGGGGAATTGAATTTATACCACTACCGACAGAAAAAATCTAATAATATATATATATTGTAGTTTCTACTGCCAGCCTACAGGCTTATAGCAGGAAGAAATACTTTGTTCAAAATCCCGCATGAAGTAGAAGTACGTCTCCAACCCCCCCCCCCCCCCCCCTGTAAAACTTAAATAACAATATCATTAATTGACGTTTATTGTGAAACCTGTTATATACAATGTACTATATTATGGATATTGTATTTCAAATGCTCTTATTTCATTTCCGTCACGAATAAAAGCAGTGAATATGCACATTTTACTGAGAAATAGATTTTTTGGGTAAAAATTCACAGGTACTTGGGTCTTGGTTTATAAATATGTATGTACCTTATTGATATGTAAAAACTGTACCTTACCTCTTTTTTTTACATATCAATAAGGAACATGTATACATATTTATAATCCAAGACCCAAGTACCTGTGTAAAAATTAGCTTTTATATAACGCCTTATGAATACACTGGCGGATTAAGAGGGGGGGGGCCCAACCCCCCTCCCGTTTTGTGTCCAAAATATACATAAAATTTAATAAATCAATTTTTCTGGTGTGTCCGTGAGCCCCTACCCCAACCCCAAACTGGTTGCCCCCCCCCCCCCCTTTTCAAGATTCCTGGATCTGCCACTGGAATAGGCCGAGTATTTGATACAAAAGACTGTATTCAGAAAAAAACTGAAATGTATTAATTAAAGCACAAAATTATACAGCATAATTGTATTTGAATAATGCCTTATTCATTGATATTCTCTTTTCATGTAAGCAAGTTTATTACGAAGTACAAATTGTACTTCGGGTTCGTTGCCACGATGC